TGTAAACCCTGAGATGGGGAACGATAAAAAAACGGACGAACACAACAACGTGTTTTCTTGAGGGGTGCGCGCACGCACGCGCTTACAAAAGACAAACACATGGGCGCACGGACGCACGCAGATGCAATCAACGCGAAGAGAAACCCTCCCGTGGCAGAATAGCACAGTGGCAAAACGACACCTTCCCCGGCCCCCCACACATAATGACACACACAGACACACACACCGAAAGGAGGAGCCGCCAAGCCGCGCCGCGTAAACGGAACCCCACGGCCATGCAGGAGGCTCAAACGTCTGCCGCGCACAGACAAAGCCCCCCTAACGTTCGCTAAGCTGCACGTGTACTGCGCGACGCGGGTACGCACGCCCGCAGTATCGGGGCAGAAGAGCGGAGGCCCGCCAAACTCGTTGGAGTCGCCGCTAAGTCTGTGCCGGTCCAAACATCCCCCTTCCCCTCCCCCCAATCCCCATCTGGGAAGCGCTGGTGCCGCTTCGTCTGCAATACACAGTCCCCTCCCCATTTCCGATTTCGCGCTTCGCGCACAGTCGCACACGCAAAATGTCACATCCTCTCTCAAAGTCCTCCAAAGCAAACGCCCCTGCAGTTGCTTCCCCCAAACGTTACCAGACCACCCCTACGAATCTCGTTCTGGCCTCTAACGGAAGTTCCTTCCAAGTTTCTGCTCCGTACCGCCACAGCATGTTTGTGCGTGTAAGGGCACCAACATGCTGCAGACACTACCGAATGTCAAGTCAGCTATCAGTCGCCAAGAGTACGCACACGCAAGCAAATCCATACCAACATCTCCTGAGTCCTGACTCCTAGTTCACGAACTCAGTCCCCATCACATCACAAATTCAGTTCACGAATTCATTCACCATCACATCACGTATACACCAGAGTCACGAAGTCCTTCACCACTGCATCACGGGTGCGTCAGAGTTCACGAGGTCACTCCCCGTCACATCGCGGCTCCTTCCGAGTTCATGAAGTCGCTCCCCTTCGCATCACGACTCGTTCCGCGTTCACGAAGTCACATCCACTTCACATCACGGCTTCTTCCGAGTTCACGGAGTCACGCCTGTTCACATCACGACTCCTTCCGCGTTCACGAAGTCACATCCCCTTCACATCACGGGTTCTTTCGCGTTCACGGAGTCACGCCCATTCACATCACGACTCCTTCCGCATTCACGAAGTCACATCCCCTTCACATCACGACTTGGTCCGAGTTCAGGAAGTCATTCACAGCCCTTCACCATGACGCGGTGAGCGTGAGTGAGTGTGAGTGAGCGAGTTCGTGAGTGACTTCGCCGAGGTATGCTGCCATCTCCTAGAAAAATAAGCAAAGCCAAGTTCAATCAGTTATTAGCGTTAGGGAGTGATCCTGAGTAGTATTTAGTAATGTATAGAAATATTCTTATAGCTCATTTAAGCAAAATACAGAGGAGGTCGAAACTTTGGCGATATCTTGAGAACAACGCTCGTGTGAGATTTACCGCGACTGCCAACCTTCGGTTGTTCCTCTGAGGTCGCTAAAATATCTTATATTTTTTTTTAGGTATTCCTTCCGTACACACGTGTACGGAAGGAACACGTAACGTCATATTAATAAGTCGCATTTATTCATTTCAGAACTTCTATTCTCAAGGACATTTCTCGGATGCAGTACAGCAACAACGAAAAAATCTTTCGGTGCCTCAATTATGTAAAATTGGTCTTGCAACATTTTTTTTTTGTACTTTCAATAAATAGTGTTAAGAAATAACCCCTAACGTTGATAGCTTGCGGAAACATCCATTAGTTTTCCCCTAATAACAGATGCAGGAAAATAAAGGACAGAGACAGCTGTCGATATCTCCTTAACTCGAAATTTGAACAAGCGGCCACGTGATCTGACGCTAATTATATACCACCTGTGTTTGTCACAGTCATGCCCTCGGCGGCTAGGGTTTTGAAAGCAAAAGCTTGGGCAGAGCTTCAGATATTGTTGAAGTTGTGCTATTAATTATCATATTTAATTGACACGAGCAGTTACCCGAATGTTTGGCGACGCTGATTGTCACGAACCCGAGCACTCGACTCCGGGTTATAAAAATCGCCTACGTCATGGTGTCACGTGACCCTCTGTGCAAAATCGTGATGTCATGTTACGTCGTGCTGTCAACAAGGTTAATACATCTAATGACTTCCTCAAATTAAATCGAGTTGATGCAGTGAGTCACGTGACGTTACGAGGCCACGTGACATTACTTGACAACATGTATTGACACCATGACGTGACGTGACCACGTGACACTTGGTTAATCATAGTGCCAATACAAAGGTACCACGAAAACCCACAATTTCATACATTGGAATTCTGTATATGACGATTTGATCATTAGATAGAAATACAGCCGCCAATTTTTTATTCCCATATGTTCATTTTGTGATACTAACAAAAAAGAAAATAAAAAGAAATATTTCCTTGAACCGTTTTGAACCGGTTACCGTTATATTTTTTTTCGGTTCGGTTGCGGTTCAGTTCCAAGATGGCGGCGAAGATTTCGGTTCGGTTCATTTCCGGTTCGGCTAAAAATAACGGTTCGGTTCCGGTTTTCGGTTCGGTTCGGTTCCGGTTCGACACCCTGGCAACCGCACACTGCCGCTGCCACCGCAGCACAGCGGTGGGAGCGGCCGTGTATGTCCTTTGCACGTTCGGTGCAGCAGCGGTGACTGGCAGCCAGCGAATGAACCGCACCGCGTCGGTGGCTACGAAGCAGACGTCACCGTTGTGCTTGTCGATGTCATCAGCGGCCCTCTCACAAAACAGGCAATGAGCGCTCGCTGCTCCACAGCGGTGTTGGAAGGGTTGTTTAGTATCGAGACCCGATTGTGTCCCGTGTCTCAGCATGCGCTCTTTTTTTCTCTTCACAATTCAACACGCACTTCAAGTTTTTAAGACTGTTTTTTTTTGCGCTTAGAACTTGCCCACCGTGTAATCTGGAAAAAAAAAAAAAAGGCCTGTTTTGTGTGTCACGCATGTCCAATCGTAATTGTCATTTGTGCACCCTCGGTTTTCTCTTGGTTGAATTAACCGATATTTCATATTTTAAGATTGAAATAACAATTTTCTGTTTTCTATAAAGATATATGGGCTTTTGCCAGGGCGTTTGAACAGGGTCGAATTAAACGATAAGTTGAATTAACTGGGGTTAATTTAACACAAGTTAACTATAGGTGGCAGGGGTCCCAAACACGCGACCCACAATTGGCTGGGACGCGGCCCCCAAGCATCAAGTGGCTGCAAATCCCCATTTTCATGTCTCGAGCGCTATATGCGTAATAAATAATGGTCTCATGTCATCGGTTCATTTACGCTAGAAACATACTCGCTTATATTTCTCTATTCCATTTTCTTTTGGACTGAGTGATTTTTCATCTAATTTTTTCCGTCTCGGCTCTTTCTCATGTTACGCACCTGTACGACAGTCCCACTACTACCATGCTACAAGCGTGGGCTCTTTAGGAGGCACTTTGACTGCATGAAAATTCACTTTAAAAAATAAAGCTATAGCCAGCCGGCAAAAACCAGGTGGTGCCAGCAAAGTGAGAGCCCACGGTTATACCCCGTCTCGTTTCGACTTGGCAAAGGGTGAACACCACACCCTACATTGCATTCCGACAGCTTCAATATGCGCTACGTGTTCGAGCGTAACGCACACATATTGGAGCATGACGCAGCGAAAAGCCTGATGCGTCTTCACAGTAAAAGCGCACTCCGGCGATACCTAAGCACGTGCCTCACTCCGTTGTCCCGATTTGCCCGCAGGGGCCATAGCTTCTGCCGTACCGGCACGTTGCACGCCCCACAGCTTCCTGGTCTACCCAACATCCCTTGCTTCGGACACTAGGCTAAGCAATGTCACCAAAGTAAGAGCTCCCGTTTGAACAATGCAGCCACCTTGTCCAGGCATACCCACACACCTGCCAACTCTTCCGAATTTTTCGAATTGGGACTAATTTTACGATTTTACGAATCTTGCTTCAAATTTTACGAAAAACAAAAAAATATAATTTTTTTTCTTTTTTTTTTACTTTTGTTTTGTAAAGTTGCTGCTGGTGCCACAAGAGGGCGATAGGTATCGTCCACGGCAGCGTCATGGATTTTACTATCCGTCTATCCGGTCGCCATGGATCCAACACCAATCGTTATACTGAAAGCATTCTTGCCAATACAAGCGTCGTTGGCACTGTATATGCTATCAACTTACCAAAAAATAACGGGGGGGAGGGGGGAGGGAGGGAGGGAGGGAGGGAGGGAGGGAGGGAGGGAGGGAGGGAGGGAGGGAGGGAGGCGCCCACCCCGCTTCCACTGAAAACTGGGCTAATCTAGAGTTGTCCGGTCAAATTGGATGCTTGACGTACAATTTGCAGAATCCCCAAGTTTGGGAAATGTTAATAGTGGGCGCCTGAACGAAGTGGGCGCTTCCGCTATATTTTACAGTATCAGTCTGGCTTATTTCTACAGACCTGTTACAATTATAATGTGTTTTATGCATACTTCATGACAGAAAAGTTGTATTTTCATGTTACCAAGCTTTGATGCTGCATGTGGTGGCGGTGTAAAGATGTGCGCTGGTTTCACCAGCGTGTTGATAACAAAATCTGGGTATACATGAAGTGCCTTTACGAAGCAACCTGTCACCGCAGATTCAGACTGCTTATTCCATGGACCAAAATGGCGACGATACGGGGACCTTGGCAATGCTGTCCCATGTTCTCCTGCCCCCAGCCATAATAGAAAAAATGTTTCCCTTATTTTGTTTCCTGGCACCTTCAATTAAGAGATCTTTGTCCCCATGTTTTCACGTACGTCCGCACTCTCGTGTAGCGTTCAGTCTTTAAGCTGGGGTGGGGACCGCCGTACCCTAGCAAGTGCTTCCTCGTGGTTGGTGGAGGTCAATCGACCGAGAAATCAACGGGCGTGGTAAGACAGATGCCCACCTCTGTTCAGGTTCTCACACATGGGCTTCCTGGGGCCTTACGTGGAGTCGCAATGGGCCCTGGCACATTTCACGGTGGCCGCAGAGTGTGCCTGCGTGTGTGCCTTTGGATCGGCCTCTTCTGTCTTCGGTGAGTGCCGTCTTCTTTGTGTGTGGGGGGGGCAATGTAGCCTGAGCAGTTCACGTGTCATAGCCAACCTATTTATCCAACACACTCATCTCATTTATCTACCTAATATATCTGTCTGTATCTTTTATGCACGGATAAAACGGTGCAAAAAGATGCAGGGACAGAGTCGTCGTGTCCTTTTGCGCCATTTCATTTTCCTTGTAACACATACAGTTGTGGACGGTATGAAAAAGCCCAAAAGAGCGCGTGGCACCGAAGACCTCCAGTGCTATCTAACGGAAGAAAGCTGAGCTATCGTCAAGGCTATCGTATGCGTAGGCGGCATTTCAGCGGCTGTTAGATTTTGGTCGTTACTCCCCGCTTGGTCAGCAAACAAGTGCTAAGCCAACACCAATCTCAACGCTGTTTTTAGATCAAGCTTGCGTGCTTGGTAAAATAAAGGACACTTGTCCTCTTTTATCCCTTGAACTTATTATCAAATGCCTGAAAACTGATTGCTGAACTTGTTGGAACTGAACAAACACCTCTACAATCGATGCTGAAATCGCATGAACCCTGCGACGAAACTTTAATGGTTGCTAGGGTCTGGGTTGTGGTTGAGCTTTCTTCTGACACATATTGCAGCAGGCGTTTTAAGCCATCTCTTGCCTGGGCTTTCTCATATGGTTTTGTTCCTGTACAAACAGTTCATATCTTTTTCTGATCTGTAGGTTTATTAAGGCGAAAGCCTCACTTGTCCCATTGAGCAAAAAGGCGGCGTATATGGCCATAAAAATATGATTGAGTGGCACGCTTTGCTCAGTCGTACACTCGAGGACGACGCTGTCCTTGGTGTCGTCCTTGAGGTCGTCCTAAGGGTCGTCCTAGACCTCTAGGGCGATCTTACTTGTCCCATCGTGCGAAGAAGCGGCATCGTTGTGCCCGAAAGATGGCCATAAAAATATGACATCAAGCACGCGCCGCTCACACTCAAGTGCAGGAGCATGATGTCATCGCCAGAGTGCTGTGTGCAAAAGCTGCACTTCAGACTTCATATGTGCTTGTTGTGTGCTTCGTGTGATGGACTCTGAGGCGACCGCGTATACATCTAAAACCTCGACATCATCAGCAGCGTCTACATCTATGGCGGCTTTCACAGGCAAATGTGGCCGCCTACGCAAATGCGCCACAGCCTGCTTAAGTGTCGTCCTCAACGTCGTCCTTAAGGTCATTCTAGAGGTCATTCTAGAAGTCGTCCTAGACGTCATTCTTAACGTCATCCTCGACGTTGTTCTTGATATTGTCCTAAACGTCGTCCTAGACGTTGTCCTTGAGTTCGTCTGATAGATTCTCGGCATCGTCCTAGACATCATCCTAGAGGTCGTCCTAGACGCCGTACTTGGTGTCGATTTTGAGGACGTTGTCCTATACTTTAGTACGTGTAGAAGCATTACTTGAAAACATTTCTCCCGTGGGACTATAATGCTTTCGCCTCCTTATACCTAAACAGTCTGGAGTGTCCACTTGTAACTTATCTTTAGTTGTCTTGTTGGGTGTTCATTTTTATTACCCGGACTAATCTGTCCACCTTAGCTATCTATCTACCCGTCTACCGTAGAATACCATGCATTCGCCCATTCTGCACTAAGCAGCCACCCTTAAAATTTGAAACATCTGAAAAGATATGCACAGTACATATACATGTAAAATTGATGACCTCACATGCGTGCATCCTCTATTTTTCCGCGATTATCTTCAAAATTTGAGTGGCGCTTGCTCGGTATTTTAAGGTAAATCTATCTATCTCAGTTGTTGAGTCCCTCAGTTTATTTCTCCAGGTGTCTACATAGGAGTCTTTCTTATCTAATCTCTCTGTCTAATCTTTCCATCTAAGCTATCTAATCTCGGAGTTTTCCTAACCTGTTTAGACTAACCTGTAGCTGCCTGAACATTCCCTTGGAGCAGGATTATTTTACAACGGAACTGTTAGGGACTAGGTTCCTCTGGATCGTGTCCGGTACCAAAGAAATGTCGACACAAACCTACACGAACCTCTGGACAGCTACCGCCATGTATAAGCGACGGCGGCAACCAGGCAACCAGTCTGGTTACTGCCATCGCTCATAGATGGTGACAACCTTTCCAGCTATCATAGAAGAATGGATAGTTGGGTGAGTTGGTGTGAATTTGTCGTAGGACACAGTGCGAAAAACGGACGAGGACGAAGAAGAAACACGTGATGAGCACAGCGCACGTCACGTGTATTTCTTCTTCGTCCTCGTCTGTTTCGTACGCTCTTACCAGTTTCGGTTTGGACTCACGACGCGTCGGCCGCGTGCCCTTCCTTCGGGGAAAGGGGACCGGTTTAGGAAAGAGTGGTGACTTAAACAGCAGCGCGGATGGGTTTGCAACCGCCGCGTGCGTCGAGTGCTTCAGATTCCCTTGCGAAAAAAGAGCACATCGCTCGCCCGGAAAGCCACCGCCGAGAACAGAAGCTACAGCACTGCTGCTCTTCCTTCTTCAACAGAGTGGAAAGGCTGAAAGTTTTTTTTCCCCACTTTTCTGTCTTAGCCTTGGTATGGCTGACCCTAGAACCGAATTCACCACTGAATAATCCCAGCCATAGGTAATTTAGCTTTCCAAAATCTAAAAACAGCCATGGTGGTAGTCAAATAACTTCCAGGAATTAGTTGGCTAATTATTGTGCCGCACTTACCGTATTCACACGAATGTAGGTCGACTCATTTTTCAATTTTTGAAAATATAAAGTTGGGGGGTCGACCTGTAGTCAAACCAAAGCATTCCACTTCCGACAAACACGAAACAATCGCGATATCAAGAACACCTCTGCTTGTTACGAGTTCAGCCAGCTGTACCTGGAGCATTGCACTATTCTGTGCACTCAATTTACGATTTTGTTTTATAATTTGTGGAAACGAGTATTATTGATAGCGATTCGCAAAGTAACCCGAATGTATGGCGGTGAACAGGTTTTTGGGGCTCGTTTATGGCCGTTCTTCACCTGGAAACAACCAACAACTGCACTGTTAAACGCAAGTTCGACCCATCGGAGCGGGTGATGCTCCAGTGGTGGCCTGCAAAGTGTGACGGCAAACGAAGAGGCTTCCGCGGGCCAAAGGCTTCCAATGAATCCCTACCCGTGACGTGCAACGCGATCGCCGAGTAAGCCCGGAAGATACAGTCATTTACGAAGTGCTAGATTTCGTTGGACGATGCCGACGACGTGCTTCGAGAACATAGCAGTGATGATGACGGGACTGACATCACCAGTGCGAACGAGTCGTAGTCTAGTCGCGGACGGAGCGAGAACAAGGAGCAGCTTCAGTTGTCCCGCCTCCAGCGTGAACTTCCTAGTTTTGATAATGCCTGGGCATCTCATGTGCCTCGCGCGGGCATGCGCAGCCAAAGCATGCCAGAAGGCATCGAACGCGTGTTGGAGGCTGGGCTTTCGAAACAGATACTTTGCCATTCTCACGTGTTCGCAATAAAATGCGCATCTAAAAATTTTTGTTTTTTTCTTTTGCTGACATGCAATGTGGGTGGGTCGACTTACAATCGAGTCGACTTACAATCGTGTAAATACGGTACGTCCCCACATCTACCACCACAACAGAAGGAACAATTTCTTTACTCAAGGTTTTTATTTTTAGAAATGTTTTGAGTACAGTAAACTTTTATTAATTCAAACTCCAGGAAGCCACCAATTCTGTTTGAATTATCAGAAATTCATTTAAATTTGATGCAAGATAAAATATGATTCGCCATACGAATGGCTATACATACAAAGCAGATACTTGACGATTTCCTCTATACAGGCCTACTGATAATAAGCATATATGCCACACATGAAACATTTAGGAAATCTATTACATGAGTTTATTTATTCCTCAAAAATGTTGTTTATCGTGGGCTGTCAGGCAGCACATGACAACTGAAAATAAAATTAAGTTTGTTCATCAGGTCTACAAGTTGTCTAATGTGGACTATTAAATGGGCAACGCGTGGCAGTTTTCATAGCAACTTGCACAGACGCTGTGACATGGACCTGTGCCATGCCAACATGTCCCAGCGTCCGGTTGTTATGGAAACTTCCGCATGGTGCCCGTTTTGAAAGCTCATGGTGCCGCTCGAGCCCCGTTGAGTCACTTCTCACTGAGCACTGGTGCACTGCAGAGAAGCAACACCCAATTTCCGCAGGTGTTGCCTCTCTGCAGTGCACCGGTGCTCGGAAAGAAGCGCGCTCAACGGGTTCGCAAGAACAAAAAGTATCCGTTACACGAAAGCGCCAATCAAATTAAGTGACTTATAAATACATTAAAAACATAGTGGGACGACAGAAATTTTGAAATTTGTTTGAGTTAACCAAAGTATGAAATATCAGAGTTTGATTTATAGCGAGGTTACTGTAGTACCTTGGATACTCAGAATGATTTCTTTGGCTGTACCATTTTCGTTTCACCATTAGCTTCTCCGACTTGGCTCCCAATACAAGCAAGGTTGCTTGTGCAATTGGGAGGCTAATTGATGTATTTGGGGGTGGGTGCTTAGTGCAGAATGGGCAGATGCACGGTATTCTACAGTAGGTGTTTTAATTGGCTTTTTAATCATCAGCTTCAGAGGGAATTCTGCATTTATGAAATTGGTGCCTAACGTTCATGCTTTACACTTCAATACACGCTGAAATAAGCACACAGAAATTGGGTGCTACCGGCTAAGTTGCTTCACCTTGGCAGGTTGTTTTAAACCAAAAGTAATTGGCGCTTTCAAGGGGTAAACACAGTAAACACCCTTAAACAAAATGTGAAGGCACCTTGAAAATGATTGTTCCAGCTTATTAGAAATGTCTGAAATGTCATGCACAGCGTACTGAATCGAACTTATCCGATAGATACAGAATACGACAGCCTCTCAACTAAGGAATACACCTAGCGAAACATTTATTTTGCTCGCCACAAGGTGAAGTTATTTTTCACCTGTCTCGTACTCTGCTTCTTAGGAGGCTTAGCTCTTCAGTGATCTTCAACTGCTTGCGTTGTCTAAAGCGATAAGTAACACAGTGTTCGATGTGTCTGCATTTTCTGTTTACCCCGATGTTCACGAAGTCCTGGTGGTTCCCCTTGCATGTCTGCAGCCATCTGCGTGGATGGCTCCTTTCACAAGTATGTCTTCACCAAGGACGGCAGCTGCAACCGAAAGGCTTACGACATCTACCTGGAGAACTGCGAGGACGACGACCTCTGAGGCCTCTCTAAACATCGCGGTGGCTCGAAAGGCAAAATGTTTGTAAATATAATTTTTTAACGTGCGTAAACTCATACGTCGAGGTGCACTTTTGTTGTCTCGCTTCCTTCGTCTTATTCCCATCTGTGTTCTGCTTAGCAGACAGAAGAATGTTACAGAAGCATGCAGATAAGACAAATAAAGCTCAATTTTTTCAACTGCATTTCAAGGTCATGGAAGATCTCTCGGAACTTCCTGATTAAACCGAAAAATGTTTCATTCAGTCTCCCAGAATCGCCGTAAAAGAAGTGTAGTTTGTGCACCACCGATATGGGGTTGTGCGCCTTGCAAAAGGAGCCGAAAAAACAGATGCCTCACACTTTTTTCCAACATGAGAAAAGCACTGCAAAACTATAGTCTTAATTGTATTGTGTTATTATTTGTCTGCCCATCACTGGCCCAGCTCTACTCATGATGCTTTGACACCAAGGAAACAAACACTGTTTTAATATAGAACACTAAAGTCTGAAGGAGGTGTTGGTAGGGTTAAAGGAGAGCTCCAGCATCAATATGAATGTTTCAACTAATCTTATTTTCAGAAAGAGTAAATAAAATTGTACCTAGAGCGGCAAATAAATTTCCCTGAAACTTCGTAAGTAGCTTTTAATCGTAGATATATGATGTAACAGAAACTAACTTGCAGCGTTACCGGTATGCCATCTTGTTACGATGTCAGATGTTGTATAAATACCAGCACACGTTTGAGCCCATTTTGCTTAGCGTCGGAAGCAGTGGGAAGACCGTCGCGATCGTCCGTGCGAAACAGCGAACTACGATTCGTCGAGCCTGTCAGAGTCGAGCAATAAGACCCACTTCCGTCACAGAGGCTTCTCGGTCGAAAACCGTCGAGTTGACGCTTTGCCATATTTATTCGTGCTGTCGTCAAACTCCACAGCACAGCACCAATTTCCTCCACTTTCCATCGCACGCCGCAAACAGCCTAATCCTGACGCAGTCCATAAAAAGCATAGGGGCTCCATAGAGGATGGAGCGTCTGCTCTTGGATACAACAGTTCACATTACGATGACCCCGGCGCCGCCGCTGCTCCTTGTTGCCAGTAGAGCCACTGCCAGTGATTCGGAGGTGTATGCGTAAACTGCAAAATTAATTTTCTCAAGAAAATGCATGTTTTGATTAGATATTTTGTAGACATGCTCAAAAGTGGATACTGTATTTAGTGCACGGTGAGAATTTTTATAAAAATTGATGGTCATCAATATTTTGCCATAGCTTTCATTAAAGCAAGAATACAGAGGAAAGAATGCTAACATCATTCATTGATTCATTTGTTTATTTTGTGTGCTCATGAACAGATTTTGCCTTTGTAATGATGCACGATTTACATACAGCAAAAAGGAAGAATAAATAATCCTAGAGATTGACAAAAGAAAACTTGAATGCTACAAAAGTTTAGCTAATAGAGTGGGCATCCTTCATATGATTTATTTTCCATAGAAGTTTTCATTGCATTACAGAAGCATTTACTACATATACTATGTTTATATGGAGACTAGAGTTACTAAATGTTCCATTCAATCTCTGTGAAGATCTGTCATATGCTTAGGCCATAGACTCCGGTTTTCACCGCAAAACACAGGTAAACATTTGTCGATGACAAAAATATAAAATTATTTTAAACCAAAACACGCTTGTAGACGTTCGAAAAAAAGAAAACGGTAGAAACAACAAAAAAACAGATCTCTGGCAATTTTTTTTCTGGCCAGGTCTGTTTTCATTGAAACTTATCCCTTCTAGACTTGAACTCCTAGTTTGTCATGAGATTTTTTCACCAATCACCCTTTTCAGTGTCAATCCCAAACAAATCATCAAAGTGCTTCAATATTTGAAAAAGAAAAAACACAAAAAATTTGATCATTTTATCAATAAAAACCTGGAAATCTACTCCATACATATACTTCTCTTTGTCCCTTCCATTAATTCACAATGGAGTGGCCATAGCATTTCTTTTGCCTATTGTAAATTTATGCTGAAACAGAATAGATTAACACTTCCAGACAAACCGTCGAATTTGTACTGAAACGGAGTAGATGAACACCTGCTATAACTTGCTGAATTGGAATATATGAACATCTGTAGCACACTTGATTTTATGCCGAAATGGAGTAGATTAGCACTTCCGAGGCAGGCCATAGAATTTATGCTGACACCTCCGATGCAAACCGTCTTCAACTGGGTCACTGATTGAAACGCTGGATGCGTACGCCATACTGGGTGGCCAGGTGGCGTCGGTAAAGCTCGTTGAGCATCACCCTGGGTGGTGGGGGTGGCGGACTTGGTGTGCTGGAGACCTCCGGAGCCCTCTTGGCCCCCCTGAGCAGTGTGAGTCCCCGGACCAGCGTCTCGACCAGCCGGAACAGGATGAAGAAGGACACGCCCAGGTACATGCCGTTGATGCCACCGAAGCTGCTCATAACGCGCTCCAACTGCACAAGGAAAAGAAGAAGCGTTAACTCGCAGACATGCTCGCACATGGCAAATCAGGCGGTTGGATACGTTTCAGCCGCATCGGGCTGCTTTACCAGGCGCAGCTGAGTGACCACGGGGCATCGTTACTAGATTAGCTCAGTTGTGGAACTGCCCGTAGATGCTGCTTGCACGAGCAGCATCTCCCACGGCTCTCCTCCCGTCGTAAGACGTGCCATTGTTTTGGGGGGACGGCTGCTATAGTAACTGCAGTGTAATCTATGGAATACAGATGTTTCAAAGCACAAAGTCAAAATGAAATTTCACCGTAGTCTACGGAACACGCAGCTTTGAAACGAAAATCTAGATAGCCCTTAAAACGGCTGGAGGCGGACTGAAGCGAACGACTGAGGTAATCTAGTGGAACGTTGCGACGAAGTCATTCAGCTGCGTATGGCCCCAAAACTCGCAAATAAATTTTTCAATAAAATTTTTAACTTTATTTGTTGTGAGGGCTCTGAAATACAAAGTAAATTTACTTACTATAAAGTAACTATGTAAAGTAAGCCATATAAAGTAATGTTTTTTTTCTGACTGACCATATTAACGTTTTTTTACTCTAAAAGGTTGAGTAATTACTAATTTCAATATTGCCGATCTTTTTGTGCAGAAATTATGTTATTTTATATTGATATCTGATTAAAGTGAACTTCTTGCAAAGTGCAACAAGTTCCTTTACAATGCGACTTCAGCATATGAAATGGTTATAAAATAATGTAATATGTGCTGTATGAATGCAAAAAATATTTAGTTGCTCGGGACTTGTGGCACATCCTCAAAAAGACGGTCTTACGACCAGTGTAAATCATATATTTGTGGACGAAAGTAAACAGGCTAAAAATAAACGCGGAAAAAACTAAATGTGTGTTATTTCGACCACGAAATAGACAAGTACCTAATTTGCTTCAAATAACTTTAGGGTCTTCAACACTTCAAGTGGCAAAGTCGGTACAAATATTGGGCGTATATTTCACTGAATCGTTGTCATGGAATGAGCACGTTGATTATATACATCAAAAAGTTTGTAAATCTATTGGTCTCCTTTGTAAGAATCGGGATGTCTTTCCAACAGGTGTTAAATTACTTTTATATTATTCTTTGATTTACACTCACTACGTGTATTGCCATTTAGTTTGGGGCCAAACAACGATACAAAATATAACAAAACTACTGCTAACCCAAAAGAGGGTTCTTCGAATTATCGCAAATGTACCCTTCTTGCACCCTTCTCGGGAGCTCTTTCTTATACATAACGTCATTCCTATTGACCACTTGTACCAATTTCGCCTGCTGGTGATGTATAATATGGCATTAAAACATAATATTTCTTTCCTTTTCGCACTGTTGGGCTTAGCAAAACTAGACCATAAATATGTCACACGTCACGGCGAAATTTGGAGCGTTTCAATACCCCGTACGAATTACGGCTTTACGTCATTAAAATACGCATTACCATCTTTACTTCATAAACTCGAAGCCAATGGTATCAGCATCTATGGGACATCAAATCGTATGTTGGCAAAAATCATATTACAGACAGCATAATTTTTACCTCTAGTGCCTGGAGTTTTTGTATCTGTGGTGAAACTTGTTTCTACTTTAAAAATATTTGTTTTGATGCATTCAAGCTGAGTGCAACAATGTGAATAGTCGTTATTGTGTTTTAGTGTCCATTTTTGTGTTTTCGTTGTGTTTCCAATGCTGCTTTCCCGCTAATGTGTGTTAGGGCGCCAGGACCTCGTCAAGCTGCAACCGCAGCTTTTTGTCCTGACGTCCTCCCTTTTTGTACCAACCAGAATGGGAAATAAAATACATTATTATTATTATTATATTATTCAACTGATACTAATTGTGTCAGCTTTTCGGCTAATACCGCATACCATTACTCTAGTTACAACTAGGCACTATAGTTATAACTAGGGTATGGCCTTAGTTATTACCAAGCAGGAATGGGCAAAATACATGCAAATATGTATCAAAATACAAATACATAATACATTGTCAAAAATGTATTTAATTACAAATCTAATTACATTTCCAAAAAAGCATTTAAGTACAAGATATAAATACAACCAAATGTATTTGGTCTCCTGCAAATACTTTTCCAAATACATTCCTCAAAATTTGCGTCAGCGACTTCAGGGCACCTGCAACGGGTTTCTGGGTATCTCATCTTAATTTTGCATCGCACACTCGGGAGTTAGTGTGCGGGGCTCTAGAAACGTAACAAAAATATAATCACAAAAAAATGTAATCAGCTTGGACGTAATAGGTGAAAAAAGTACAGAGCTTCAAGCAGCTTTTTTTGTCGATTACATTTTGGCATAGACCAACAAAGAACCGAGACGACCAAGACGCGCAGCACTAGCTAGAGAATTTTTTATTGTTGCAACTCGCAGCAGTTACGAAAATCTGGACGACTTGCGCATTTAGAATGTTCCAGGCAAAAATATGGATGGAAAGCATCACAAGTTGTCACAGGCACTTATTTAGTCAGTCTGCCTGTGAACGTCGATTTCATCGCTATTCTTGCCCTGGACTAGCACCGTAATCACAAAGTCACTAAACACTTGTGCTCGATTCAGAGACACTGCATTCGGTGCAGAACATAGTTTTCTTCCTGCTCTGGACAGTGACAATAAATTTGAGGGATAATTTTCGCCCACAAAATTATATTTAATTACAATTGTATTTGAAATACCCACGTTTTAGTATTTAAATACACACGTGAAATACATTACCCAATTTGTAATTAAATACAAATGCAAAATACACAAAATATTTGAAATACATATTTCAAATACTTGTATTTGAAATACTGCCCATCCATGTTACCAAGGCTTATCGTTTCCGGTATATGCTCGAAAACACCGAGAGTACTACATCTAATATTTGAATGAATCTGAGAACACATTTTCTGTTAGTATCACTGTAATTGTGTGTATGTTTAGACAGCCGGTAGTTTGTCGGCTTCACTGGGCGTCATGGTGGGATCCGCTGTAGATAAGAAATTCAACCAATGCAGCACGACTACCAGCCTGCATTACTCTTACAGCATGCATCACGCAGTAGTTATGCACAGCTGCACGCCATTATGATGCTCATCCAGATCAAAATTGGTGGTGATGGTGAATCTTGTGTGAAAATACTGGTTACTAGAAATGACGATGTGTTGGTCATTGTAACGCTGTGACCTTGAAGGTGTATGTGTTTACTGTTCTTTTAGTTAGGCGGCTGCAGTTTCGCTTGCCTTTGTGCTCCGCTCTTTATTTGTTAGGCTGTGGCTAGGGTTCCATGCTGGCGGGACAACAGTCACCTCCACTGTTCCAGACAGACAGAAAATAAGCAAACCCTGTAGAGTTACGTCCAAACGGAACGACAGTCACCCTAGAGTTCTATCTAGACAAAACTAAAGCCGCCGCCAAAGTTCCGTCCAGACGGAAGAGAAGCGCGTCACAAGATCGTCCAGCATACACGAGGGTTGATCCCTATGCTTTACCCGTGACCCATTTTTAGAGTAATTGGCAATGTTCCTATGTTATTTTAATGTAGACATCTTTAGGTCAAATGCACTTGTCACATCAATGCTATTTGGAAAAATGTTTGCCCAACCTCTGCAATCCATGCATCTCCGGCCTCTTTACCTCATATGCCCATTAAAACTCCTCCCGTGCAAGTGCTTCTTTCATCTTTTTAAAAGTTGATAGTCACTGGGAGCCGATACAATGAATACGGTGGATATAATTTCCAGAGGTTTATTTAGGAATGGCAACCATTGTAATGCAAGACTTGAGACTGGGTGCATTGTCATCAACTTTCCACGACATTTCTCCTTGATCGCAGTGCATAATTCTGTAGTTAGGTTTGCATGATAAAACCGTGGTGTTGTGACTCACCTTCGTAAATAAACAAGAAAAAACATCCTTGGCATCTTAGAAAATTTACCAAGAGCTTGTTGTATTACTCTAGCTTGGACAAAAAGGATACTCTGCTCTCTACTGAGCCCTCGGGACGGAACCAGCTGTCGTTCCGTCCGGACGGAACTCTACTGGGCCTGCTATCGTTCCATCTGTACGGAACTCTGCTGGGCCTGCTATCGTTCTGCCTGTACGGAACTCTACTGCGTCTGCTATTGTTGTCTGGACGAAACTCTAGACACTCCGTATTTGGTAACCTGATAACAGCGCCACCGCAGTGCTGCTGCTGCGCTGACGCTGTTGTCGGCAGGGTGCATATGCAGACGCTCCACGTCACGTGACTACGGTTTTGCGCAAACGCAATGTCCATTTTGAAAAAAACACAAAAAGCTAGAAGGGGACAAACAAGTTTGTGTTTGTCCCCTTCTTCGTCCGTTGTCTCCGTTTTACAGCGGAGCTGTTAAGGGCTAGCTTCCCCAGGATTGTGTCCACGAGCAAAGAAATGATGACACCGAACTCTGGACAGTTACCGACATCTTTGAGCGACGGCAGCAAGCCGGTTCACAGAATTCTGGACAGCTACCGCCATCTATGAGCGACGGCGGCAGTGAGACAACTGATTGCCGCTGTCGCTCATAGATGGCGGCAGCCTTCGGAGGAAGAGCGAGAGCAGAACGAGCGGCGACGTGTGGAGCAGCGCAAATGGTTCCGCAACCGCCGCGAAGAAGTTCCGCTGCGTCGAGCGCTTCAGATTCCCTTGCGAAAGAAGAGCAGATCGCTCGTCTGGAAAGCCACCACCGAAAACAGAAGCTACAGCTCCGCTGCTCTTCCTTCTTCACCAAAATAAAAGAAAAATTAAAAGTTTTTTTTTTTTTTTTTGTGTAACATCGACCAGCTCGCCCGTTTGCCTACTCTTTCTGCAGTAAGCAAACAGGCGAAGCCTAGTCATTAGGGTGACCACCCGTCCCGCGACTCGCGGGACTGTCCTGCATTGAGGGCTCGTGTCCCGCGTCCCGCGAGAAGTTTCCAAATCTTAAAAATGTCCCGCATTTCACACTGTCGTAAAATTCACTCTGCAACTCATGGTGCTGCCGAACAACAGGGCACGGGGAAGCGCGAAGGTCGCTGGAAATCGTATGAATCGCAATGGTATACGCCATTCGCATTGCGGGAAGCGACCGTCGTTCTTGCAGGAATCACGACGCGCATGCGCAGTTGTGCCTCTCCCCCTGGTGGCAAAATATTGTAAGTGGAAATTGCTCGCCAGAAGTTTAAATATAAATTATTGTAATTATTTCCTATCGCTGTGTCACTGCGAAAAGGTTGCTGTGGATTTTTTCCTTTTTTGAGCGAAGACAGCCACACAAGGCAAAAAGACTGCAACTCACAATGTTCGCGAAAGAGCATAATGTTAAGAAATTTGTGTAGGACTATGTTGATAAAAGTAAGCGTAGACAGGAAACCATAAACCGTAAAAGATTTATTGTTTCTTAATTTCATTTGATGCATAGTGGTCTCCTGCAGTTGACTTTTATGCTTTCAACTTCGACAGATTAACGTATTTGGCATAAAAAATATATCGGTGGGAGTGAAAATCATTCCAGCTTAATTGCTGCAACACAGTTGGCAGGTGTATAAAGAGTACAGGATGCAAATGTGTTAAGAGAGCCTGGGTTCGTGCTGTGCGTGTTCATAAATTTAACCATCCCCCCCCCCCCCCCCCCCCCCTTGCCCCGCGTGTCCCGCATTTCGCCAGTTGGAAGGTGGTCACCCTACTAGTCATAACGCTGACTTGTTTGTAAGCAGCGCGTCGGCCCAAGAAGGACTGGCACTGTTTATATCACGGCATACACAGTGAAAGTTTGAGGCCCACCTGTGCTTACGCAGTTCGAAAAGAAACACTCACGTCATACTTGGGAACAGACTGTACGTTTTCGATGGTGAAAGTATGGTAGTAGACGACGACTTTGCTCAGCAGTCTGCAGGAACAGAACGTAAACCGAACCCGATTAATAAACGAGCCTCCGTTTCGTACAAAGTGCGGCCGTAAAATTTGAGCTTTTTTTTTTTTTTTTTTTTTTTTTTTTGGGTAGTATGTGATGATTAAAAATAGAACAGAAACAGCGGTGGTGCATTTGCTACGCCCTATACCGCATGTTCGTCGTCTGCACACTTGTTCGTGGAGCTTAATTTCACGTGGTTATTGCTCATATGAAGAAATATTGCTTATTGCGATTATCTTGCTCATCGCTGCAGTCTCTGTCATTAATTTTTAGCGTTTTTGCGTTCAGCAAGCCACCCGTGAGCGAACTCATAAACCAATGTGCAGACGACAGTGCCTCCGATTTCGATTTATTTTGAATATTTCATCACCTCAGGATTGAGCTGCGCCTCTCGATCGCTCCGACCCAGGGCATTTTTAGGTCGGTTGTTCAAAAATGTATTAGGAATTCTCCCTTCAAAACTACCGTCCACCTCTGTGCTGTCGATTTGTCTTTTCCTGACCACCCTGTATCATTTTTACGCTTTTTATTAATAATGAAATTGTGAAAAATGGGTATGCGCACGCCCCATTTATGGCATGCCGCGTTAGCGTCAATTTGGCGATATCCCTCGCTTTATAACTTGAAAGTCACACAAATATTACATTATGTTTTTGCAGACTCTGTTAGTACATATTATAAAGGTTAATTTCGGAGAGTTTAAGAATATTGAAGATGACCTTTTTTTTTTTTTAAATGATATTCAACGAAATGCGTTTTTGGTTAAATGCCCCTGTGTGAGCAATTCTTGTAAATATATCCTGCTAACCAGGACAACAATATTTCACGCAAAGATAAACTATACACACAGGGCAGCACACTGGCAAAGGTTTATAACCTTAGCCTTTATAGATACGGAGAAAAAAAATCTTTAATCCAGAGCATTATTGCGCAATGTGCCGTGTTTGCGATTTTGTTTCTAAAAATAACGACCCTAATACTCGCTGATTAATACTTTTTGTCACTCCTTTCTATGCCTAATTTGTCAGTAAATATTTCTAGACCCGTAGTCAGAACAGTCTTTCTTAGGAAGTCGCCCGAAATGCCAACATCGCGCGATACGCAAAACGCGCACGTGGCTGAGGGGGTGCTGACAAATTTTTTTCGGAAAGACAAATTTTTTTTTTTTTTTTTGCCATAAGAAGGATCGGTTTTGTTGTTCTGGGCATGAAGCCAGCAAAATATTTTTTTTTTTCATCAAAATTAAAAATGGTCACCGGACATGGTTGTTCGATCTCATCTGAAAACGCCCAGCTTCAAAAGAAATGGACATACAAGTTATGGCGCAACTACGTTCGCGTGCCCAATTTCAGGTTTGTACGTTGAAATTTGTATTTTGCGAGGTGTGCTACTGTTATGTATCGAGGTGCGGAGCACGGTGTGAATAAAGACGACGACGAGGGCGCTCGGGCAGTCCGAGCCGAGGCTGATAGCCAGCCATACATCACTTCGCGTTCGGTCTCTTAATTGTGATATTTTCTTAGAAATATCACATTGGCGACGAGGAAAACGTAACAAATTACGCGGGCAAAGACACAAAAAAGGACGGAGAGGCACCAGATTTCTTGGCAAGGCAAGTCTTTCTGGATTTTCTCCGATTACGATGCCTAAGCTCGAACCCTTTCTCGGAGAAAGCAAGGATGAATGGGAGGAGTATGAGGAAGTACTCGAGCAATATTTTATTGCAAATGACATAGCAGAGGAAAAGAAGCGCGCAGTATTTTTGTCAAACTGTGGCAAACGCACATATTCGCTTCTCAGAAATCTTCTGGCTCCAGAAAGGCCTAGAGATGTTGCCTATGACGACATTATCACGAAACTGAACGGGCATTACGCTCCCAAGCCTTCCGTAATTGTAGAGCGTCTCAAGTTCCACACAAGGATTCGTCAACAAGGAGAAGCCGTGAGCGACTTTATTGCATCTCTGCGGAAGTTGGCAGACTCTTGCGACTTCAAGACGGTGCTGAACGACATGCTTCGAGATCGGCTAGTCTGCGGCAGCAATAACGACCTCATGCAGACCCGACTTTTGGAGGATGCAGAACTGACTTTTGAGAAAGCGGTCAAGGTCGTCGTAGCCATGGAAGCCGCGACGAAAGATTCCCAAGCAATCGCGTGCCGGGCTGGGACGACTTCAGCTGTCGAAACCAATCGCCTATCAGAGCACTCATCTAGACAGCCTCGGTGTCGTCACTGCGGAAAGTCACACGGCTCAGCAGCATGTCGTTATGCTAATATGACATGCCACAACTGCAAAAAGGTTGGCCACCTCTCAGCGGTCTGCACAGCAAGATCCTATGACGAGTCAAGCAGCGTCAAGAAAGATGGGAAAGCTGCGCGAGACTATCAGAACTCGCCAGGACGACGGTCGAAAAAGGCGCCATCGGCGGTTACAGTTCACAGCCTCGACGACCCCAACGATCAGGACAGTGACGATGATCCTCCAACGTACAACATGTGGCAACGGAAAGCATCTCAGGTTCCTCCAATTATTGTAACGGTCATTATTCAAGGCAAACCAGTTGACATGGAACTCGACACTGGGGCAGGCGTCTCCGTAATGGAAGAAAGACGTTTACGAGAATTGTTGCCGGATGTGAAGGTTGTCCCCTCCAATGTCGTTCTTAGAGGGTACTCAGGAGAGTTGACACCGGTTCAAGGTTGCGCCGAGATCCTGGTGAAGTACAACGATCGAGAAGCTCTTCTTCCTCTGTTCGTCGTTGGCGGAACTTCCCCAACTCTGCTGGGACGAAACTGGATACAAGCTCTGGGTCTACCCCTTGCTGACGTCGTAAATCTACATAATACATCAACAGAGGGTCTTTTCAGCAAATTTCCAGAGGTGTTTTCTGGTGGGCCGGGTCTGCTGAAGAACGTGGAAGCCAAGATTTGCGTGCCAGATGGATCAAGACCCCGGTTCTTCAAGCCACGACCAGTCCCCTTTTCATTGCAAGATCTGGTCACTCAAGAGCTTCAACGGCTAGAACGGGAAGGAATTTTGAAGCAAGTCAGGACTTCTGACTGGGCAGCCCCGATTGTCCCGGTACTAAAAAGAGATGGTCGAGTGCGAATCTGTGGAGACTTTAAGGTCACCATAAACTCAGCAGCCCAGGTGGAAACGTACCCGATACCGAGAGTCGAAGAGCTCTGGACGAAGCTCTCCGGAGGCATCAAGTTCTCTAAGTTGGACCTCAAAGATGCTTACCAGCAGGCGGTACTCTCTCCGGCCTCAAGGAAGTACGTCACTATCAATACCCACAAAGGATTGTTTGAGTACACAAGGCTACCTTTTGGTGTTTCATCAGCGCCGGCAATTTTCCAGCGAGAAATGGAAAACCTGCTTTGTTACCTCAGGCACGTTGTCGTCTACTTTGATGACATCTTAGTAACTGGAGTGGATGACTCGGACCACATGAGAAATCTCGAAAAAGTACTTCAGCGGCTAACAAATGCAGCATTGAAGCTGAAGTTTGAAAAGTGCGAGTTTGTTTGCATCAAAGGTAGAGTATTTGGGACACCTGATCGACCACACAGGTCTTCACCCTTCGCCAAGTAAAGTGGAAGCAATTGTAAAGGCACCAACTCCAAAAGACACAAAGCAACTACAAAGTTTTTTGGGCCTGCTTAATTTTTACAGAAGATTTCTACCCAATTTGTCAAGTGTCCTGGAGCCGTTACATCGGCTGCTGGGAAAAGGATCACGCTGGGAGTGGTCAGGAGAGCAAGAATGCGCGTTCGAGCGAAGCAAAGAGCTGGTAACTTCTGCTGGTGTCCTTGCACATTACGACCTCACGAAGCACCTTGTGCTAAGCTGCGACGCTTCACCCTACGGAATTGGAGCTGTACTGGCGCACAGGAGTTCCATGGGCGAGGAGAAGCCTATTACATTCGCATCACGTCGTCTCATGGCAGCAGAACAGAACTACAGCCACCTGGACAAAGAGGCTCTTGCACTCATGTTTGGAATAACAAAATTTCACCAATATCTCTGGGGTCGACCTTTTGAGGCAGTCACTGACCACAAGCCCCTGCTGGGACTATTAGGCGCTGACAAAGGCATCCCCCCACAGTGTTCATTAAGAATCCAAAGGTGGGCCTTGAAACTAGCTAGCTACAGCTACGCCTTGGTCTATCGTCCTGGAAAAACTCTTGGTCATGCTGATGCGCTGAGTCGCCTACCACTGGTGACTAAGAAATTCACAGTGCCAAAGCCCGCTGATGTTTTCATGTTGGAACGTGACTACAAAATTCTCTCCCCAGAAGCTATTGCGACAGCCATGGGACGAGATCCGGTGTTGTCGAAAATACGTGAGGTGCTATGGGCCGGTTCAACTTTTCCCGCTACACCAGAGTGGCAACCCTACGCTACAAAAACGCAGGAGCTCAGCGGGCAAGACAATTGCGTGCTATGGGGTACGAGAGTAGTAGTTCCGAAAATCCTAAGAGGAAGTGTGCTGGATCTCCTGCATGAGGGACACCCAGGAATCACCAAAATGAAGACGGTGGCAAGAAGTCACGTTTGGTGGTATGGCATTGACGAAGACATTAAGGTCAAGGTCAACAGCTGTTCTGTGTGTCAGGAACACCAGCGAGCACCACAACCAGTGGCAACGACACCTTGGCCCTTTCCCGAAAAAGCTTGGTCACGCCTTCATATAGATTTCGGGGGACCATTTCAAGGACGATATTTCTTAATCCTCGTAGATGCTTATTCCAAGTGGCTCGAGGTGATGGTCGTTCCCTCACCTTCGGCGGAGGCAACGGTGAATTGTCTTCGATCAATATTTGCCACGCACGGATTGCCTGACCTGATCGTGAGTGACAACGGACCAGCCTTCACAAGTGCTGTATTTCAGGAATTCCTGAAGAGGAACGGAATTCGTGGTATGAGGATCCCCCCATATCACCCGGCATCTAATGGGGCTGCGGAGAGAGCAGTTCAAACAATCAAGAACAAACTCAAGAAAGCTTCGGGAGATTTTCAGACAAAGATTTCACGAGCCCTTCTGCAGTATCGCACAACACCTCACGAGATCACTGGACTAACACCTGCGGAGGTCCTAATGGGACGGAAACCTAAAACTGCAATAAACTTGCTGCATCCTGATTTCCGTTCTAAGGTCGTACTAAAACAACTGAAACAGAAGCAACGTTGTGATCATGGAGCTAGACGACAGCCACTGCTGCAACCGGGTGACAGCGTTTGGGCAAAGAACTTCCGACCTGGGCCTGACTGGATCCCTGCGTCCGTAGTGCACCGCGCAAGCGCATCATCATCACAGGTTGTTCTAGATGACGGCACATGTTGGCATCGCCACGGTGACCACCTGCGACAGAGATTTTGTCCCGCTTCGGAACAAGAGACATCTGGTAACCAGTTGCCAGAATTGCCTTTAGTGGACGTTGCATTACCCGGATCTTCTGCGCCGCCGAGATATCCAACAGCGTCGTCTGTACCTCCGGTGCCACCACCTGTACCTGCGGTGCCAGCATCCCCGCAACGTTCCGCACCCGAGCTTCAAGCTCCATTGGCCAGCCCTAACCAAAGGGAAGCTTCCCTTATCGGATCGACCAGTTCTAACGTTGAAGCGAGCTCAAAAGTGAGAAGATCCACGAGAGTCAAGAAGCCAGTGTCGCGCTATGAGCCATAGCGAACCAGGGGTAAAGGTGTGTTATGTATCGAGGTGCGGAGCACGGTGTGAATAAAGACGACGACGAGGGCGCTCGGGCAGTCCGAGCCGAGGCTGATAGCCAGCCATACATCACTTCGCGTTCGGTCTCTTAATTATGATATTTTCTTAGAAATATCACAGCTACATGTGTTGGTACTTGCGGCTGCACCCTGTACATAGCGCACAGAAGCTTCCAGATGATTTCTAACGGGAACACGTGACTTCATCAAGCGCTTGCACATAAGGGGTGGTGAACAAAACCTATTTGTAATACGCTTCCGCTTTCTTCTTTCTTTTTTTATTTTTTTATTTCCGAGATGCATAAGAGCGCCTCCGGGCTCCAGCCTTTAGCTTTGTCCGGTGCTTGACTGTGGTTTGGGTTCCCGTTATTTTGTTTTGTACCTATCCTGCATTCGCGAACTCTCAGTAGTCCTTACAAAGCTATTCGCCAGTCGTACGCAATCCCAAAGTAGGCGACGCCGCCCATTGGCAAGAACGTGGTTTTCAGAAACGAGCTCACGCCCGTCGTAATGTGCAGCGAAATCTTCTATGTCCTAGCGGCAAAAAATGTGAAACAAAAAGAGACGGGCACTAAATGCACACTGTAGACTTCTTCCAAAACCGACGCGCCCCATCGCGGCGAAATACCACGCAGTGCACTCTGGGAACTAGTTGGCTACTCAGTTTCGATTTCAAAAAAAGCAAGATCCCCGAGCATCGCAGCGTCGAGATTCCCAGCACTGGCTCGTCCACCATACCTCGAAACGCTAACAGAAAGGCTCAAGTACAAAAATACTACAAGCATGCGTTAAGACAAGCTATACGTCTCGGGCTTGTGCTACAGCTTCGAGGCCTAATCATTTAGGTTAGTTTAGAGAGCACAAATGACGTGCTCGGGACCAGAAAGCATGAGATATAACGGTCGTTAATAGTCCACGGCTCCACGCTCTGTGCATGATCTCTTGTCGACGTGTCGATCGAAACCGAAACCATGCCACTCTCCTCCCTGGCCAACTAGTTCCCAGAGTGCAACGCGCGCCGTGTTGCATGCAGGGATTTATGGAAGTAGCCAAACGTTTGTTTTGTCCAGTGTTTCGCTGACACGCACTCTGGCGAGACGAAGTCACTCGCTGACGACAGAAGCTTTGGCAGACTTGTGCGCTTACGTTTGAAGGACTGCTAAATCAGGACACGATTTCTGCTGTGCACAGCATTTGCTGTCCGCTTCCGCACAACTTTGGGGCGGTTTTTGACAGGAAAAAATCACACTCCGCTAGCGTCCGTAGGCAGAGCCTTGGAGCGTGCCCATGACGTAAGCCACACTTCGTTGGCTGCCAAAGCCTCCGCTGTACTTTGGAATCCCCAACCTCCCGAAAACGAAGAAAGAGGAGGAGGTGAGGAGGAAAACCGTGATCTTTGCACACGATGTCCTAACTGAAAACGTAAGCTCGCGCCGAAATAATATTTAAAAAAAAAAACGCGCACTTTTTTTTTCCGCACAGATTAGAAAGCGTGAGCAGCGTGCCGCACACACCAGAAAGCGTGAGACTCCGTGTGTTGTGTCGTCCTTCGTCTTTTCCCCAGTCTCGGGGATTTGTCTAAATTATGTAGCCTTCACCAGCTCGTTTGCGCCCTACATATTTGAGCGTGTTCTGTTTGGGCAGGCTTTTAAACGGAGAATAGTTTGGTTTGAAGTATATACATACCTTCTGTCGTTGGTCTCGCCCTTCGCGAATCTGAAGGACTGGAAAAACAAATACGTTTTTAATTTTCCTTTCTGTTTCTGTTTCCTTTTTGTTTTTCTTTCTAGGGGTGTGCGAATATTCGAGCTTTGAACTGGAATCGATTGATGATCGTCCGAATGATTCAATTCGGACGCCTGGAGGCAGCAGCCTTGACTAGCAAATTATTTCTACAGAAGTTCGCTTTTTGTGTTTCCTCGGTCAAAAGCAGATATGCTATCAACTTCTTTATTTCGTAAAAAGTAAAAAATAAATAAAAAAAAATAAAAAGCGCTAATTGTTATTTTGAGTTTAAGAATTTTTTGTCATCTGGTCCTGCAGCCAACTTTGTGCACTATAGACGCTTTCAGCGCGCGCCAGATTAGAGCCGCCATAGCCGACCTTCTCTTGTCTTACAGAGATGCCGAGCCATTGAAGCGGGCGTTGACGAGTCTTCACAAGGGCCTATGCTGGGGAGAACGACACAGTAACGCTTAAAATGGCAATAATCTGTCCTGCTGTGGTAATGATGAAGTGGAGCGAACGAAATAAGAGGGAACAAAAAACAGAAGGTCGGTTATGGCAGCGCCCATGTACAGCTGCCTGGAAGCGTCTATAAACCTATTCTCGGTTATTACCTCCATAATGCGGAAAATTACTATCAGAATACAAATAACAGCTATAATTAAACCGGCCTCTTTCGCTAACCCGTGGCTCCCCCAGGCGTCGAGCGAGGTGCCACGGCTAGGTGACGCGAGATGTTACCCACGTGTGGATACGCTGCGTATTCACACGTGATGGAGTGGACACATCCTTCAGTTTTGGCATTTAAATGTGGTCATTAACACCGGGTTTATTCGACACTTTCAAAACAAACACATGGGGCTTTTTTTTTTTTTTTCAACTATGCGACCTTAGTTTTTTTTGTTCTATTATGATAATTTTTAACCTGGTAGATGTCTACCGAGAGGTTCAATTTTAAGACTTTTTGTTTCTTAGAAATTGGGAATAAACTCTTTGATATTTGTATTCGAGCCGACATTGAACCTTGTATCCATTATTTGACACTAGATAATCGATTTGAATTCGATTCGAGTTGTGACTTACGTCTGAGAGCGCGGATCGGGAGACTTCTTTGTAGTACTCCACGTCTCTGTAAGGAGCACGTACGAATTACCATCGTTTCTCGCATGATGTTCCACGCACAGTACAGCTACGCTCACAAACTTAGCATGATCTGTATTTTTTTTGTTCAGTTACCGACGAGTATTCCCCTGCCAAAGATAAAAAAACGCTGGGTCACTTTTTATCTTTGGTGTTTTTCTCTCCCTATGCTCACTACCAGTGGCGTAGCTAGACCATCTGGCACCCGGGGCCCTTGGGTCTTTTGTCCCCCCCCCCCCCCCCCCCCCCCCCCCCTTCCCCGCTCCCCGAGACCGCAAAGCTAAAAGCCATAACCGCGACACCAGGTCACGCAGCGATAATGAAATAATAAATACAGGATTAGCCAGCAAACAGTGTTTTTTTAAATTTAATTATGTACTCATAATGAAAACACATTAAGTTTTTTTCTTTTTTTTTTTTATATATATTGAGCATTTGTGCCACGAAAGCTGAACATTCAATTTCTTCATAAGTTCTTTCGCCGACACTTGGCTTCTGCAAAGTTATTGCTGTTGTAAAATTTATGTTTTTTACACGTTCTTTTTCTATGGACAGTATCGGCAGGTTTGAGAGCCTTTCATCGCTCATGGTGGAGCGCAGATACGTTTTGATTAGCTTTAGTTTGGAAAAGTTCCTTTCGCATGAGGCAGCTGAAACACAAATGGTGAGGAACAAGCGAAATATAACAGTCAGGTTTGGAAGGGTCTCGAAAAAGCTCCATTTGGCAATAAATTCTAGAAACTGCTTTGCATTCCAAGTTTTTGTCTCATTAGGATGCTTCCCAGCGGCTCTCAGGCACCGTGCTCTCAGGTGCCTTCGCAGTCGGATGATCTCCATAACGATTTCGTCATCATGACCGGTGAACTCGTCATAAACTTCAGTGAGGCTTGGTGTCAATGGCACGCTGTGGCAACAGGGAAACGCCGTTGCCGTCACAACATTACGAATTCACTTGCCAGAACACTACATTGTGACCGCCTCCCGACGGCGAGCGACGCGCTTCTAGAACTTACGGTGGGGTCAGAGAGCGAGGGAGCTTGCTGATCAGAAGCCTTTCGCCAGCACCTCCTCTCGGCACTTCACCCTCGGGGTGAGGGAGACGACACTTTGAGAGTTTACCCAACACGTTTACCCCCTCCCCGCGACTCCCTTCGTGTAAGACCTTCGTGTGATTTTTTTCTTCTTCGCCTGGCGCCTTCTCTTGCTGTCTCGGCGCAGTCCGGCCGTGGTCGGCGCAAGCCAGCGTCGTGTTGCGCTGGGTTTGGCGTAGAGTACACTCAAAAGAAAAAAGAGGTGTAAAAGGGTGTATCATTACACCCTTTGTCTCATATAATACACCCCAAAACTTCAATTCGACGTACAGCGCCCTACAGTCGAACAGACGGCCCGAAATTTTACGAGGGGCTTGATAGCCGTGTGGTACAACCTTTTACAATAGCTAAAGTATGTATCAAAGACCACATAAAGAAGACACAGAGTTTTTACGGTAGGGCCAAGAAAACCCCGATTATTTTTCTTGTTGCCAGTAAAACGTACATTAGATATTTTAATAAGTTGTACCACACGGCTATCAAGCTCCTCGTAAAATTTCGGGCTGTCTGTTTGACTGTAGGGCGCTGTATATCCAATTGAAGTTTGGGGGTGTATTATATGGGACAAAGGGTGTAAGAATATACCTTTTGACACCCTTTTTTCTTGAGAGTGTGGGTGGCGTTGGCTCGGCGTGCCCGGGCACAGCTTTTTCTCGAGTGCTCCCGCACTTTCCGCGCTTGTTTTTTCCGCCGGTGCGCGATGACTTTGCGCGAGCCAAGCCAGTTTTGCGACTCTGCACCAGACACGTTCGTGATGGAAGAGTGGTGACCTCATGCGTCTAAACATTCTTTGCCACTTACGAACCAGTCAAGCCAGGGGGATTGCCGCCATAAGTGGCACCCCCCCTCGTGACTGAGACTCTTGGTACCCAGGGCCCACGGCCCACGGCCCCCCCCCCTCCCCCCCCCCCCCCCCCGTTACTACGCCACTGCTCACTTGCACTACTCACTTATTTTTATTTGTGACGTAATCGATTAGGAAATTTAGAACCTTTGTAAGATGCATTTTTTTTTTAATATTTAATAACCGCGTTCGTAAAACATGCTTATAACGCAATTGCGAATACCGAAATTGGGGTCCGGAGTGACGTCGTCTCCTAACTTTTTATCCTCCCTCGGAAAACATGGCGGCGTTCGGCATATGCACTGAGGATGATCGCTAAGTCGGGGAATCGGACGATGTTATCTTTTTTAGGTGCCCGACGTCGTCTCCTAACTTTTTATCCTCCCTCGGAAAACATGGCGGCGTTCGGCATATGCACTGAGGATGATCGCTAAGTCGGGGAATCGGACGATGTTATCTTTTTTAGGTGCCCGACGACCTCTTAGGCTATGAAAAGGAAATCGTGAAACGGTCCGAACAACTGGGTTTGGTGTCTGTGTGCCATAGTTTCGGTCGTGATTTCGCCGGGGCAACTTTTCACGCAAAAGCGCCGCGACGTGGCCCCTGACGTGGCTCACAAAAGTCCACTGGGCGTTCTCGTCGAACCCACACCGTTTCCAAGAATTTGAGATCGCTGAAAGGGCCCTAAAAGAAACTCAAACTCGAAAGTGAAGCGTCGTCTGCTCACAGCGACAGAGGAGAGCGGTTGATCGGATGACGATTTTGACCTGTCAGTGCCCCTTTAAACATTTCATTTCATTTCATTTCATTTCATTTATTATTCCCTCAGGGCCCGAAGGCATTACAGAGGGGAGTGGGCGGTCGACACATAAAAGTAACATAGTTGAACGAGGCAAAAAATACAACAAAAAAACAAAAACACACACACAGCAAAAAAAAAAAAAAAAAACAAAAAAAACACGCGCTACGCATTATCTGTTAAAAAGTTGGTAATAACATAACATTCGTGCACAAGGGGGATACTTTTGAATCGATGGTTATGATGTGCCGTTCCCTCCTCCTTACCGCGCGCATGCGCGGTGCGCGAGACGAGGCGCTCGCCCGACGTGCCGCTGTCTTCGCTCTGCCTCGCAAGAGGAAGGACCGTGCCGTAGAGAGGGCAGCTAAACAAGCAGCGACGCGCTGAGTATGGCTTTATTAAATTAAAATGTTGGGGGTTTGGTGCTATAGTTAGGCACAAGGGGGTTGGTCGCAATTTAATCAACGGAACACAGCTTTCATAGAAGAGAAACAATGCTATCGAATTTCGACGTAATCTACAGAGAAGCAATGCAGAAACACAGCCTCGTTTTTTTATATGTAGTTCGTTCTGGTTGCGTTCAACCCTGTGTAATTTTGGATCCCTTATAAAAGTGTATTGCGTGCCATGTAAGCTTCTACTTGCGGGAAGGAATGTGCAATGAGTTTAAAGAGGAAACATAAGCGCAACAATACAGTTGTGGTGGTGGCAAAGACTGTTTGCGAAATGGTTGTTTAGTGTGCACAAAACATGCCCTACGAAATACAAAAGTGGACACACTCTATCATTTCAACGAGCTTCCGGGTGAAGGGAAGTGTAGGTTAGGCACGCTTTATACGAATTTGCTTTTTGCAAAAGCAAAAAGAAAAATCACGTGGTCGTGATGTATTTCACTGGAATGAGATGACTCTAATCTTCCACCGTGCGTTTTCGGCGCACCATGGAACTTGTCATTCCCAAGTGATAAACGGCGTCACAGCAGTAATTGGCCACGAAGGCGAATTCAAATAATTCGTCGGCGGATTGATTGTTGACGAGAGTGACTCAGTGCTCGTGTCCAATGCGTCACCTGGGGCAGGCTGACGCGCTTGGGCACCGCGCTTCTACTTATACGGGCAAAATTGGGAGGCCACTGAAGTGACATCATAGTGGCATCTGACGTACTCGAGCTCATGTCAACAGGCGGCATAATGTCACGTGACAGACTGGTTTCACCAAGGAGGTTAGAAGTACAGGAGAGGACACGTTGCAATGTTGGTGAAGCCTAGTCATAAAAAGTTTAAACGATGTTGTGGCCAACGTGACCGGAGATCTCTCTGGCTATTGGTGCGCGTGACATGTCACGTGTGAGATGGATGGTTGATTGTAGGACTCCTTGCAGGCTTGCGCGCGCGCCGTCCGGTAGGTTTTATCAGATCGAAAGCTAGACTGTGGTGTCTTCTAGTACCCCATGGCTAGACGAAGGCTAGCTACGGTCACGTGATCTGGTCACGTTACCCTGGTAAGTGAGGAGAGTAAGGAGGAAAATGAGAAAGAGGCGACGCGTCAAGGGGGCATGGCTTGTGGAGGCTACATGGCTGGCGTCCATGCCCTCTCCTACCCTCCTATCCTCCTTGAGTTTCACAGAGTCAAGGGGTGCCACCTGATATTACGACGTCCCATTAGTCATGACGTCACGTAAAGTCACAGAAAACCTAGCTATTACTATGCATTTAAAGTGCCCTTGGGATGACGTCATCGAGGATAGAGGCCACAGACACAGAATCTCTTAAAAAAAAAAAAAAAAAAAAACAATTAGCCCTGTAGATGTTATGCATAAAAAATTCAGGCTCACGTGCATGACCCATAACATTTGCAGTAGCTCTCAGTGGTCGGTTCATCCATCCGAGCCCGTGTTTCCTTGACGCAGTCTTCTTTCTCCGGAATTCCTGCGACAAGCGTGGAACCAAGCATTGGGCTGTGTCCGCGCTACTCAAGCACCATTGTTTTGAGTATTCACAAATAATCGAATCCTATCTAGTATCGAAATCGGCGATTCCGATTCGAAAATGCAACTTCCTCAGCCTCGTAGGCACGGAGTCAATAAGCCTGAGCGGTGTCGTTTTACTCTCTCGCGGACTGCTCTCACTTTTCTGGAGGACGGAAAAGCGTCTCCTGTGGTTTCGTACAGAGCTTCAGATAACTGTGCAGCAATGATTTTAAGCAACAAGGTCTAGGCTAGGTGGCGCGAGCTACTACCCGAAATAAGGGTTGCAACCGTTAGCATCCATCTATTTATTTATTTTTTCTGCCAAGGCCGTTAGGCCAGGGCAGGAGTGGTACGAAATTTAATACAAAACGCAACAGGGGTATTAATTTCAGGCATAGAAAATATCGAGTTCCTCAGTGAACGACACGACATCTTTAGAATTGACAACGCATGACGGTAGCTTGTTCTATTCATCAATACATCGAACGAAAAATTAGTACTGAAAATGATCTGTTGAGCACCAGTACGGTTGGATATGGCGATTATGTTTTGTTCTTTGCAGCATAGGCTTGGGTATCGTTATATATTTAGAAATATCTATCTTATAACATTCCTTCAGTGCCTGGGAAAGAAGTGCCATCCGGTTTATCACCAACCTGGTTTGAACGCTGTTCAAGTTTGCTCGGGACTTGAGTGAGGTGACAGAGTCAGTTGATTTGTAACTAGCGTATATAAAGTGCACGGCTTTGTTTTGACGTTTCTCTAAAATAGAAATATTTCTAGTGGTAAATTTCCATCTTTCATTCGTGGACGGCAGAAGTGCCGTCCACGAATGACGTTACTACGTTACGTTCAACGTTACTACAGGGGGGGGGGGAAGGTGCCGCCGCTTCCAATGCACCCTCCTCAGAATTTACGGCGCTCCGTGGGGGCCGTTATGTTAAAACTTGAGACCAGTGTTGCTGCATCTGTAGGTCGTCTTTACGTTAGAGCTGACGGAGAAAATCTGGCCACGGCGCAACGCCGATGTACACTGGAAGCTAGAGCCGCTTTGCTTTCGTTGTTTTTGTTTGGTCGGAGAAAATCTAGCAACAACGCACGTTCAAGTTTCAACATGGCGCCGGTATTGCTTCGGCGCTTCGGTTTGACCACGTTTGACGCGGTTTGCCAGCACATGTAGCGAAGACGTGACCGGAGAAGTGCCCCTGTGATGGTCCCGGAAGACGGAAAGTATCATTCGTAATCGTCGTGCGTGTTTTGAAGGCGAAGGGAGTCACAGGGTCCACGAGTGCGCAACCACAAGCCAAGGTTCACGACAGCGCTCCGTTGACTTCGGCGATCTTGTTCTGTTTGGTGCATAGAGATAGGTTTGGTGCAACACGGCGATGCGACAAAGAGTTGAAACGTTCGTGGTGTGTCGTGCGGTGCTTGGAGGTAGAATCCCATACTAACACGAAGCGCAAATTGGTTATTGTGGCGTTGAAATTCAACGGGTTCAGTTCCGTCGTCGTCAGCTGATCCGGTCCAACTGGTCCGGGAGGACGCAGCGAGCGCTTTTAAAAGTAAATCTTCCTTCGTTCCGTTTCAAAATGTGGAAGATTCTCGACGCATACCGTAAGTAAAAAGCTGCGGGCGTTTTCAGCAAAATTACCTCGTTTTAATTGAACAATGGACTACGGATTCTTGACCTAGACCTGCTGTTTTTATGCTTCGTGTTGGCGTTTGCACAGCGTCGCACACCGCCCGAGTAGATGATTTGGTCCTGCAAACGACCGGTCATACAGAATTTCAGAGAAACATAAGTCACCACTGATATTTTCTTGTAAATCTCGTGTGAATTTGTTGCGCTCGTCATGCGGTGTGAATAAATTGGGGCAACGTTTCCTACCTGCCTACGGATGCATGAACGGAGACCATTTTTTACGTAGTGAACATAGCGTTTTTCTTTATTTTGGAAAGAGGTGTTGGTGAATTTATTATGGTACAATCACTTGAGAGTTCAGAAATTGGAGAGAGCGAGCATGCTTTCCCAACTTTGTCACTTTTCCCTCTGGCATTGCCCCTAGTTTCAAGTTGCAGTTTCACTAGACATACCTACTAGCAGGTACAAACTGCTCTAAAGCAGGTAAAAGACTGGTAAGTCAGGGCGGTGCGGACTCCGTGTTTCGCGCTTTTCGCAAGGTTACTGGGTAAGTGCTCTTGCGAGGTATGCGGAATACGCAAACGATTTTGTTATGCCCGTCGGTTGCGTCTGTCCAGCAAAACGAATAAGATGATCTACAAAGGCGCAATCGCAAGCCAATATTTACGATAACAGTGCATTCGATTCGGTGGTACGTGTAGTTGCATTTTACCCTGCTTTCTGCAACAGCGTGTCATGACGAAGAGCTGGAACGTTCACGGTTTGTGCTGGGCTACCGGTTGACCCAGGGGCGGATCCAGAACTCCGGTTTTTTTTTTCTGTTTTTTTTTGGGGGGGGGGGGGGGCGAGGGGGGGAAGGAAAATCTAAACTCTAAAGCAAGGTAAACAGGACTCCGGTTGCACCTTTTGTTTTAACCACCGCAGAACCACACTGCGCCGACGGCCCCTAGATGTGCGCCGCTGCGCCGACTTTTGGTTCTAACTTTAAGCCGTGCTTTGAAACCGCCGCCGCGGACTTCAGTCTAAGCGACGGAGTGATTCTCCAAGTGTGTGCGCCTGCTAGGGTGCGGCCTACCCTATTTCGAACCCTCGTCCTTGAGTACCGAGCTTCCTACCACCTGGCAGGACGGGAGTTGGTTTTATTTCGGGGGATCCACCCACGTCAAATCGTCCTCCAAGAAGGGGGCAGGGGGGGGGGGGGGGGGGGGGGGGGTCGACTGTTTGGAGGGTAGGCGGCCGCCCCGGTCGCCTCCCGCCTCCCCCTTGGGTCTGCCCCTGGATTGACAGAAGCCCGCGTCGCCCGCATCGTGAGTGCACTTGGGCTGTTGTAGTGGCTCTAGGCTGTTGATGCTCAAGCCTTTCATCCGCGGCTTGCCGTCAGCTGATCCGGCTGCTCGACGGTGAGGAAGCGGCGAAAGTGACCTCTGAAGCAAATCTAAACCCTTGTTGATCCAGTTATTCGGTGTCAAAGTGTGGAAGGTGTCCAAAGTGTACTGAGGGCGGGAACTACAAGCGTTTTGCCTTGCTTTCGTAACCGAAACCAGAACAGCGATATAACTGCCTAGCGTACTCCAAAATGATGGAAGCAATAAGTTGCCAAAACCTGTTGTTAGGGTTTCAAGCCGAGTAAACAAGACAAATATAATTAAACTTCGTTGTCTGTATGCAGGAGGACTTATATAACACAACAATACATTCTCTTTCCAAAACGAAAAAGAAAGTAAAACTTAGTCCGCCGTATATGGCAGCAACTTCTCCACTGCAAAACCTATGCTGGCAACGTAAGCGGTTTTAATATGGCAGCCTCCGCTTTGCGCCGCGTTCCCTTTCCCTCCTTCCCCCCCCTGCGTTACTAGATTATCTCAGTTTTGGAGCTCCCGCGAAAGGGGGTACCTCCCTCACTTACTTCAGTACGCCTCCCGTCGTTCGAAGCGCCATCTAGATTTTCGTTCACGAACTGTGTGTTCCAAAGAGTACGGTGGTACGCCATCTAGACGCAGCGCTTCCAAACGTGCGTATTCGATAGGATGCACTCCAGTTACCATAGCAGCCGTCCGGCACGTCGAACAACTAGAGGCCAATCGTGGTGAGGGGGGGGGGGGGGGGGGTTAGTACTCGTGTTTGCAGCGTCTATTGGCAGTTCCATAACTGAGCGAAACGTGTCTAAAACTAGTTCCCTCAAAGCATCGCAGCAGCGCTGGCGCAGTCAGAGTGGCTGGTGAGATCGGTCTATTGACTTTTCGGAGGTGCAATGGGGGACAGCGGGGCTTCGGCCGCCGGCAGAGCGCCACCAAGCGGCGTGTACAGGTAAAATTTCTTAATGAGCCATCCGCAGACCGTCGCCGCGAAGAAACGGCAAGGGGGGGGGGGGGGGGGGGAGGGGGTTAACACGCGCGACCCAGTGATACACCCGCTGTCCCCCACTGTGCCTCCGAAAAGTGCGATCCAAGGGAAGTAAGTGGTGAGAACACCAAGTATCACTATACGCCCAAACACGCCTGTCCAAGTCTTATCACTGAGGCGAGAAATGCCGATCGACTGGGGAGTATGAAGTCTGGGGAGTATCCTGAGGAGTATGAAACGCCGCATGCGCGGCGTTTCATACTCCTCAGAAGAAAGGCACGCACGCGCGTTTAGAGAACGTTCCACAGCTTAGCAGAAAAAAAGATGGCAGCGTGCAGAAGGTAGGCCTCGAGACCGACCTAGAGGGGGCGCTATTGTAGCGCTATTATCGTCATCATAGTGTGGACAGAAAAGCGAGCGTGAGGCTGCTGAAGGACGAACCAGCGCAGATCCCGTACGCCACCGGACTCGCTCCTCTTCTGCTCGACGGTAGACTCCTTGACTCGCACCGGCACCGCTCTCGATTCATGTTCTGCTCACAGAGTCTGAGACAGTCCTGCGCGTCACGGGCACAGGAACTTGAAGAGAACTTGGGAACTTTTACTCTTTGAATGTTTATTTTTATCTCCGGAATCAACCAAAATGGTGGCAGGGAGTAAAGGCGTGAAGCCTGACAAGGGCTCTGTCCCCAACGCAGCGCTTCCAAGCAGCACACAGTTTGCACAGTTAACGCTAAGTGATAAACAAAATATTCATTTTTAGAATATACCAGAGAAACAACTAGTTATTACATACAGATTCAGAAAATAAATTAATACCACTGCCCACCATGAGCGTCCTGAACTCCCTTTTAAATTTACTAAAAGTGTTATGAAAATCTATGAGGTCTTTAATGTTATTCAGAGCTTTACTGACTGAATCAACCGCTACGGCGATCAGCGAGGTCACGCAAGCCGCTGCAACGGTTCCATTTTTAAGAAAGAGGTCTTGTACTGTCGAAACCGGTTATAACGAAGTCGGCTATAACGAAATAGCGGCTACAGCGAAGCGATCACGATTTCCCATTCCCTTTTGTAATCGTTAACCGAAGTCGCTTCTAACGAAATAGCGGATACAGCAAAGTGATTTCCGATCCCCATTGACTTCGTTATAAACGGTCTGGACAGTATTCTATTGCTTTGTCACCCCACGGAGCGTCTCGGCGCCCCTCTTTCCCCGCTCCCCCTTCCCCTCTAATCTTTTGGCGAGCCAGTCGCCACGTCTATCCCTCTCTCCTCTTCCCTCCTTCCCCTTCCACGTTATCGACCAACACAGTATACGATCAAGCCCGCGTTTGCCCGCACCGGGAGTGGGCACGCGCACTTCCTCGCGCAGATACCAGATTCACCCGAGTCGAAGCATTGCGCATGCGCAGTGCCGACAGCAGCGCCACCACAGCGGCGAGACGTCAGAGAGTTGTGTTGGTCTATATACCTATACTGATTTGGCTGAGGGAATAAACGCTGCTGTCAACCTAGCAGCTTGCCTGTCTACCGCGGCCTACGGCGCGCTGTGTCCTTGCTACATCCCCAAACAAAGTAAAAAAAAAAAGATGAATCTTTGTTCACTTTAATTATAAAAAAATAAAAATACGAAAAGCACGACATAAACAGGCTTTACAGGCACCACTTTCCAGAAGCCGAGTTCATTTTTTTCTTTATTTTATTGATGTTAAAGTAAAAAAGGTCGTGAACGTTTTCGACCCCCCCCCCCCTTTTTTTTTCTCTCTTTCTCTCCCTCTCTTCGTTTTTTAAGGAAACATCCTTCTCACCTTCCCTGCCGTGCTTGAAGGGCCAATAAAAAGCAAAAAATGACTTTTTTTTTTTGTACAGTCTGGTTGGGACACGCGTGTCTAAAAATGAAGTTTACGCGAAAAAAAAAATACAAATATTGATGGCAGGATATTTATTTTAAATTCTGCGCGCAAAGTCCATGACGTCACGGAATCGTCATTCACTTTTTCGACCTCAACGAGATGGTCATTCGCTTTTTCCACCTCAACGTGATGGCCAAGCCGATCCACCTTTCCTCCACGCGCCCGAAATGTCGAGGGAGAGAACAGGTGGAAAGGAGGTGACTACCGACTAAATCGTCTCTCGCTCCGTCAATATTGCTCTAGAATTTTTTTTTCGATTGGAATTAATTTTTTGACACACGTGTCCCAATCAAATTGTTTCAAAAACAAACAAACATTTTTTTTTTCTCCTCAGGGGTTCAAGACTCTTGCGACGGCAGCTGGTGTCTTTTGAACGCCCGATCTTCAGCACTCGCTTCATGCCTTCCGCCGTGCTTTGGCTGTGCGAGCGCGTGCTCGGATGCACCTGACGCCGAAGCCTTGTCGAAGGCAGGAAGCTCGCGCTGCAGGCAGGACAACTGCAGCTCCTTCCTGCCGTTCACAGCTTGCCGGTGACTACAGCCTCACTCTGCGCACAGCTTTCATTTACAACAAAGAAGAAAAACGCCTTAGCAGGTAGCTGCCCTCTGCGTGAGAACGGCAGGTAAGAACTCTGTTATCGCGGTGTGGCAGTGGTTCAACGTTTCGAGAAATCAATACTTGGATAATTACCTCTTTTGTGTACTTGGTCATGTTGCGAACCCACTTCCTCAAATGGCGTGGGTAGTCACTCCTGCAAGGTTTCTGGTAGGGTTCCGGCAGGCCAGTGCGCTTATTCTACGGGGAAAATATTGACGCAGTTACAGATTCATCTTGCTCCCAATTCTCGAAGGAAGCTTCAGTCTTTGGGAATCTATTCAGTGCCAAGAAAGATTCATTTTGATCCCTACGTAATCTTTTTTTTTATAGTCCGCGTAATAACATATTGGATGGATGGATGGTTGAATCCGGCTGAGCCTTTTGGATCGGGCGGTAGCTTACGCCACCTAGCCATTTTGTTTTACCATTTAAGCTTAGAATATTTAAATGTGAAATCTATATTCACTCTGCACCGATAAGAAAGTGAGGCTATGAAACCCCCTTGCCATCAGTTTATAAGAAAATACATAGTTTTCTCTCGCTTTCTGCCACCATTCACTTAATCTTTGCTTGGTAATTTCTACTGTCTTGAAACCCACCCTTCCTTCGCTGTCTCTAAAACCCAATGACTTGATGAAATCTATGTTGTCTTCGGTAGGCATAGGGTGAAGCCCTTTACAGTAGAGTATCAAGTGCTCAGCCGTCTCGTCCTTTTCTCCACAAGCAGTGCACGCTGTATCCATTTCCTGGTACTTCGCTTTGTATGTTCTGGTTCGCAGAACACCCGTCCTCGCCTCAAACAGCAATGAGCTTTCCCTAGAATTGTCATAAATGCTTTCTTTGGCAATAACTGTTTTGTTTAATCTATAGCTTTCCAGAGCCGTCTTTGTCTGCATTCCCTCTAGCCACCGATCTCTTTCTGTGGCCTTAACTTTCTTCTTAACTGAGACCCGCTCTTCCGTAACTCCATTATAGCCTAAAAGCTTTCCTCTTAATTTCCTAGTGCGCTGTCTCCCACTTTCTGTCTATACTCTTCATGTATAAATAGCTGAAAACCTTTCGTGCCCATTGCTCCCCATCCATTTGCCTCAACCGAAACTCAAATTCTATCTTGCTCACAGCTTCCCTGCTCTCAAATGACGCCCATCCCATGTCTCCTTGTACTCCCTGGTTTGGCGTTTTGCAATGTGCCCCCAAAGCCAGCCTATCTACTCCACGCTGTTTTATTTCTAGTCTTGCATGCACTTCGGATTTCATGCATAGCACTGCGTTTCCAAAAGTCAAGCCAGGCACCATGACCCCATGACCCCTTTCCGAATCTCTCTCACCACCTCATACCTGTTGTAATTCCAAAGTTCTCTATTTTTCATTACAGCTGCATTCCTGTTGCCATTACCTATTATATACTTTTCATGCTCACAGAGATATTCTGCACCATCACATATCCATACTCCTAGATACTTGTATTTACCAGCTCTCTCAACTGTAATATTCTGTATCTTCAGCCTCTCAACTTCATCATCGTTAAAAATTGTGACTGCTGATTTTTCACTACTGAATTCTAAACTTAATTCTTCTCCTTCTCTACCTCCGATGCTAATTAATTCCTGCAACTCTGTCCTGCTGTTAGCCATTAGTACGATATCATCCGCATACATCAATCCCGGTGAAGGTTGCTGAATTTTTTGGCCTAGCTTACTGTACGAAAGGTCGAATCCAAGCCCACTCTTCTCTAGTCTATCCTCCAATCCTCTCAGATACAACATAAACAGCAAAGGCGATAACGGGCATCCCTGCCTAAGGCCTCGTCTTATCTCTATTTTCCTCGTTGTCTTTCCTTCCCATGTTATAATCACCTTATTATCTTTGTAAATATTCCTTAATATTGCTGTTAGTCCGTCTAGGTTTAAGCTCTCCACTATGTACCACAGGTTCCTTTGGTTCACATTGTCGTAGGCACCCGTAATATCCAGAAATGCCAGCCAGAGCTGTCTGTTTCCTTTTTGTGCTATTTCTATACACTGTGTTACAGAAAATAAATTGTCCTCTAACCTTCTTTGTTTTCGAAACCCGTTCTGTAACTCGCCTAGTATGCCCTCGCAATCTACCCATTCCTCCAGTCTGTTCTTTATAATCTGCATTACCAACTTGTAAATAACTGGTGTCACGGTTATGAGACGATAATTCCTAATATCAGACTTATCTGCCTTTATTATTATTATTATATTATTTTGCAAAGTGCGAGCCATCTGGTGCATACCTGCTGCACCAATAGCAGAGTCCGTCATTGTTTGGACACGTCTGCCAATTGGGGTAGGTCAGTGATCCATTAACAATGACGTCCTGCCCAGGCCTTGTCCTTTACGTGGTATTGGCTCAGCTGGTGCTGGAATTGAGCGCCGCGTTAGCGTTCGGTGAGCACTCCGATCCAGTGACGTCGCACGCCCAAGAAATAGGGACCGCCAAGGTTGCTTGACTGACGGGATTTTGAAAAGGGTCGCGCAGGAAAATAGTTTAACGGTTACATCTGTCTACTTGAAGGACACGGAGGCCTACCCCACGTACCCGAGACAAGGATGCATTAAGTATTACTTTCAGAGGTTTGATTTCCGGCAGGACTCTAAAGCTTGACAAGGGGACGGACTCTTGTGTTTTTTTTCTAAACACGATTACTGACACGACCGAAATTGGTCGTGTCAGTAATCGACTTGTAACTTTACCTAACCCGTGTTTACGAAATTCAGGTAACAATTTTTCACGGGGGTATTATCTTGTGGACAGCTCTAGAACGCATGGACGTTGAGCAAACGGTTCGGGACAAAGCGGCTCGCCAAGACATTTTCAAAAGGCTGCCACCAGCTGTGACGGAACCAAGCTTGTTCATAAACCTGTTCACATTGTATCTGTTTTTGTCACCAAAACAAAAAAATGCAAATTAGATCTTTTTTTCTTTTTTCTTGGTCAATAACTACGGTACCGTTGCAGTGAAGCGACAGACACCGACCCTTGTCCGTCCACAAAACTAGCTATTCTTCGACCAAATCAAGCGTTACACTACGCAGTATCCGATCAGCAAATATAAAGTGAAAAAAAAAAAAAATGTTGAAAAGAACAAGTATTTAACGCGTCTAGGGCAGCCTTTGTTGTGCCTCCTTCGATTGGGTCAAGACCATCAAATCAGCTTCGCGGACCTAACCTAAGGAATGACACTGGTGTTGGCAGACAAACATTGCCTCCCAATTTATTGTACAATTTCTAATGTTTTCCTTAAAAAGAAAAAAAAAAATTAAATGCTTTTACATTTTTCTGTGATGCGAAATTAGAGCGCAGCTCTTGAGGCATATTGATTTTGGAATATACCGTGGTAAAGAGTTTGAGAGAAAAATGTATACTATTGATATTTTAAATTTTTTGTTTGTTTTCAGAGTAGGAGAAAGAGGAGGACGATGGTACGGTGGGTGCCCTGTTTGTGGGTGGCGAGAGGCCCTGATTGGCGGCGGTGGTTACACCACGGCAGCCTCAGACGAAGTGATTTACAGCGCGCGCTACTGGTTTTGAGAGTACGTCAATATTGCCCGACTGCGCTGGGCTGCGGGTTTCCTCGTCAGTGGGCTGTGGCAGCCTGCTCATCGGCGCGATTTCGGAAGCTAGTAACGGCTAAATTGTCGCGTTTAATTTTTTCTTTTGTGGTCTATGGTGAATAGAATTTCTCGAGGTTTTTAAGGAAGCATTATAATTTTTATGGGAGCAAAAACAAACAAATGAAAGCTATTTTTGTTAGTCCGTGCGCGACAGAACAAATTCAACTGAAATGTTTGTTTCATTTTTTGTTTTGTTTTTTACGGCACCATACGCTCAGTCTTGTCAATCTACAAAGGTCTTAACTGTCAAAAATATTTGAACACACAGGATAGCCGAACTTCATCGGTATTCCCAGCTCGCAACATCAAATTCAACGATCTTATCAATCGAACAACATATTGTACGTACCGCACGGTGGCGCATTATCCGAATAGGATTTGAGAAATGTCTCAAATGACGCAGCATATCCAATATACAGTGTCGACGATAGTCGCTTCACGACGATCAGACGGAATTCGGCTTGTTTTGGGGCACGTTTTGAAGAGAGCTGCTTATTTTTTTTTTTTTTTTTTTTTTTGGCTCAGCACCAAAGCAAATGAACGAACGTGTCAATTCCGACACGTTCGTTCACGTTCGATCCCCATACTCTGGAAACGACTCTATCAGCTATTTTTCGCGAAGTTTGGAAACATAGCCGGGAAGGTTTTTCGGAGATTATCTCAACCAAAATAATTTCAAAAAACATCGCGGGCCACTTGACGTTCGCTCTCTTCGTTCGTTTTTTTTTTTTTCGAAGGCCTAGCAGGCTACGAGCCCTGGTATTCCCTGGTTTTCACACAGAAAGATAACCGAAAAAGAGTAAGCATCCTGGACAGGCTAATAAAGTAAAAACTTTCAAGAAGAGCTGGCGAACTCGGAATGCGCAATGCAGGTGGGGCGTCGTGCTGACCGGGTTTCCACAGTTCCACCGGGTGGAAGAAATTTCTGGTTGATAGGGGTCGCCCCAGTCGCAACATGGCGACGGCCAGAGTGCTCTCAGTCTTGCAAAGGTCTATGGGGTCTATGGCGACTCCGGCGAAATCCGACGCCGCGTAGCGGCAACGCCGAGAAGCTCAAGAGAGAAGGTCGTTTCGACTCTGTCGTCTGCTATCGCTGCTTGGTTCTCGTAGGCAGCGTAGAAAGAAACATCATTTCCAGTAATTATTTTCATGATTCCACCGTGTCATTCCTATATACTGACTAGAAGGAGGTTTCCACCGTCGAAAGATCGCTTTGCTTTCATATGCACCACCGATTTTAAACTGCAGTGTAAGAAATTTATGGTGGCCCGCGTACTAAACGACGAAAACCACCTCCTTTTGTCCGCCATTTTGCATGACCAGCGCGCCCCCTATAGTTCGTTCGAGTCGCGAATAGGCAAGAGAGGAGGAGGAAGATACGTTGGGGGGCCTGTTTGAGGGCGGCGAGGGGCGTCAAGCCTCATTTTGTGAAGCCGTGCCCTGTGACGTCTCATAATACAACGCGCGTAGCGTTGCATTATGGGACGTCACAGACCTACATACCAATTCAGTTTCTCCGCTAAATTTAGCGGGGAAGTCAAATTGGTGTATAGGTACGTGACGTCCCATAATGCAACGCGCGCAGTGTTGCATTATGGGACTCCTAGGCGCAGGTTCCCGCTTGTGGTGGTGACGCCGACGCTGACGCCGCTATATGCAGGAACGGGTGACTAAACGCTGCGCTCTAAAAGAGTCATCAGCGCAGAGAACTCCTGGACCACTAGGAGGACACAGACAAGGCGCTGTGTGCTGTCTATCGGGCCTGCTGGTTCTTATGCAGACTAAGAAATTTTACGTACTCAGTGGTGTAGAAACGCTATTTCAGAAACTGTCAACCACGGCTCCCGTATTTCGACGTAAAGCACTATTTTTAATTGTAAAATAAGGCTCTGTGGCATCAAGCACTGTTCATTGTTAGAAGAAGTAAAAAATGTGTGGAAAGGGTGCTACGGGAAACTGAGATGAACACGCTTATGAAGGGTGTTTTCCGCACTGATGCCCGCTTTATCCAAGGTAATTATTATGACGATCTTGAATAATTATTGTATGCACCAATGGTTTTTACTCGGGAAGACATTCCCCCTTAAGCTTAAATGTACAAGGTGTCCGCGAAAAAGTTTACAGGGTTTTTTTCCACCGCAAGAGATCCCTAGGTAGGCTGCTAGGAATGCCAGCAACCTTTTTTACAGGTGTTCACCAGCATCCTAAGGATGCTGGTGAGCACAGAACTAACACCCCTAGGGTGTTATTTCTGTGACAGGCTGATTTACACCTTCAAGGGTATAAAATGTAAGTGTGTAAAGCAGTGGTCTCAAACTCATTCAAGTTGGAAAGGGGGGGGGGGGGCATATAGCCCACTCCAAAAAGGTCGAGGGGCAACGTAAGGCCCTTGACCTTTCGGGGGAGGGTTGAGAGATTTTATTAAGGGACCTCGTGCTCTTTGCTTTTTGTAAACTCGCAGTTTGGCACAGACATCTTCAGCTTTGATTTTTTTATTGAACTAATTTGGGCCCTTACCTGATATAATAACACGAATTAAAATGGCACCACCCCGCCAACGTGCTGCCCTTTTTAACACGTCAAGAGATCAAGCACGCTATCTTTCTCGTTGCCCTATTCACTCGGGAATTATTTCAGCTCAGCATGTCCCGAAAAAAAATAATTCATAACACAGATTTTACGTTACTAACGGCTTGTATCGCAGCAGCTTGAAGGGAAAAAAGCTCGTATTTTTGATGGTGATAATATTTGAAGGCGAGAATCTCGAACTCGTCGGTTTATCTATTCTCCTGCTGAGCAAGAGTCCGTGCAGCCGAGGTCCGTCCTTGAGCGAAGAAAGCTGGGCAGTAAAGATTAAAATGAAACATAAGCCAAATAAAAACACAATAGTATAAACTATGTGATACGTTATAAGAGCAGAGCCGTCCAATAGAAATGATTAAGCGACATGAGATATCTATAGCGCATGCCATTTCTAGCGCTCGAGACATGGGAATGGGTGCTCGCAGACGGTTGTCTGAGGGCCGCATCCCGGCGAGTCGCGGGCCCGCGGCCGCGTGTTATAGACCCCTGGTGTAGAGTATAATTCTGTGAAGTGTGAAACTTGAATCTAAACCAAACAATGTGCACGTGAATTGTTTTTGTTTTGGCCTGTGTGGCGTAGACATTAATATTTGCATCTTGGAGTTCCTTTTTACGCCGGTCTTTGCATTGTGATGTTCGGACCTGACTGAGGAGATATATCTAAAACGTTTCCAAATCTCTTTAACGCAGAATTAGAGCGCAGCTCTTGAGGTATTTTGATTTTGCAATATACCTCCTCCTCCGTACCCTCTCTTCTTCCTAAGTACTCTCTCCTCCTCTCCTCCCTTCCACCTCCTCTTCCGTGTCCCCCTCCTGCGCACCCTCCCCTCCCCTCTTCCGGTTACGCCGGCGGCGACGGCGACGCCGCAAAACACGCGAAAGAGCGCCCAGTGGCGCATTCACACTGGCGGTTGATTTGCGTTTGCGAAGCGAATATGGTTCGCGAGCGATCCTGTTCAGACACATCGAGACGCGGTTGGCGGTTTTTCGGCGATCACGCACGATCTTTTGAGACTGGCACAGTTGCGCTTGGCCACCATGTTTTACAATCCAAAATCCAGTTTAATCCGCGATCCAGAGCCGAAATTGAGCTATTTTGATACTCTGAAACTGAAAGTTTTTCTTCAGGCTTTTCGCACGCATCACGAGTTCAGGCAGCGAAAAGGAGACATGAACCCGCAAAACCGGCCTGCGATTCCCTCGACTTCGCCCACAAGCAAAGCCCAGCTAGCTGCGCCCATGCTGACTAAGAAGGGGATGCCCCCGACCCTTTCTTCGAAGTGAACCCTTCCCGCATGAATAGCTTACTTGGTTTTTGGGACAAAGGGCCAGTTTCCCTCCCTTGTCGTTCGCTTTTATAATTTTCGGAGTAGTGAGCAGCACTGGTAGAACGAAATGCGGGGAATATGTTCGGCGCTAGCCTTTTGTGGCTTCGTCGGTGGCGGACTCTCCTCTGGTCACTCGCATGTACTGTTTGTTTGATATTAAGCTCAAATAAACGCCGTATGGATTACCTGTGCATCGTCTGGTAGGTATACTTTATTTCTTAAGTAGGTTCCCTTTATTCGTTTTGGTAGTAGTATGCGTTACAGGTCGAGCTAGCGCAGATACCGTGCCAGCACCGCGGTAGTGTGTTGGCTTCACAATTCGGCTCACGACGTCTCTATCGGCCTTCGTGGTGGGGATGCACGGTGTCGAAAGCTTTCGGTAGTTCACGCGACTCTCTTAGTGGGTACAAAAGCTGTCATTTCGGTCGATCAGGGGCAGGTTCCGACCTTCTACAGGCTAAGACTAACAAGGCAGCGAGCAACGGGCTTTGCCAGCCTGAATAATAAACAAGCTCTTACCCGACGCAAATCACCGGCGAAGCCCGTTTAGATTCAAGTCAACTCATTTCGCGACAGATTCAAGTGACGAACGTGAACATTGCGTTTATTCGTTGATTTGTCTGCTGCAACGCTAGGACTTCAGCGCCTTGAAGGCCTCACCAGCAAGTGGTGCACTCTTGTTTCGAAAGCCACCGACGTCACGTCAGCGTAGCGTTGCAATTGGTTGCCGCTTTGCGGTTGAGAATACACGTATCCGCTTCGTGTTTACGGCTCCGCTTCCATTGTGAACGCGCCATAAGAGCTGCGCTCTAAAACGCTTAAGGAGCCCTGTATCGCCATAAGATGGTTTACCATGTGCAGGCCAATGTACGTGACGTAGCCTGGCTCCACGAAGTCAGAGTCGCTGATCACGTTTTCACGAAACCCGTGCCCGTGAACCATGACCACGAACCCCACCTCCGTCGATATAGGCAGGTACTCGTCGAGCTGAGGATCCAAGATAAGCTCGAGTCCTGAAACAATCGAGTTGCGAACAGGCTCACGTATACGACGGAGACAAAGAACACCAGCGCTCCCACGTGGCTACCCTCCAGCGAATTGCGATCTTATACTCCGTTTCATATTAAAGAGGAACTAAACCACTTTCTGCGATAGGCTATTTACGCTTATATCTCAATCTATTGACCCTAGCTGAGCATAATAAAAAATCGAAGGTTACATTCCTGCGCGACCAATTTCTCTTTTAAAATCCGTATAAAATATCGATTACCTCGGGAGTCGGAACTATCGCCGGATGGCACCATCGGACGAGGAGAAGCAGGGAAGCCGTTCTCCTCGTCTGATGACGCCATCTGCTGTCAGGGATAATCTCAATGCAACCGAAAAAGACCGCAAAGCAAAAGAACATATTAAAAAAAAATCGCACATTCTGAAGACGGGAAGGAAAATGGAAGCCTGGCTGACAGAACATCAGGAACCAGCAAAATGAACTGCGACGGCAAACAAAAGAAGCAAACGTCCAGACCATACACATGAAAAACCAGATGTCTATGACTAACTTTATAACTAAAGTGTAATTGAACAGACAAGTGAAAAGACTAAAAAGCCAGAAGGCATCGGGCAGAGATGATATCCCAAATGAATTCCTCAAAGCTCTCAAAACGAAGGCGCTAGAGAACTATGCTTATATGACGCCATAAAGAAGCAAGAAATTCCATCATCCTGGAAGCAAGGAAATATTGAGCTAATGTACGAAGGAAAAAGGAAAGACCCGGCAGATTTGAACTCATGCAAACCCATATAAATTGTAAGCAATACCTGCAAGCTGTTCACGAGCATACTTAGTAGAAGTCTACAAGACATTTGCGAAAGTACCAACGTCCTGGGAGAAGCACGAATTTCAGAACGCACCGAGGAACCAGTGACAATATATTTATACGAAGCCAGGTCACAGAAATAAAAATTATGACAAATCCGAATTACTTCTGACCATTTTGAACCTCGAAAAACCTTACGGCGCTGTTCCCCACGAGAAACTGAGGAGAAAATGGACTCAAAATAAACTGGAAACTGAGCATAAAACTACTAGAACATCCGTACAGAAACTCTACAGCTTTCTACAATTTTCGCCCTTACAGATAAGAGGAAATCAAAATAGAAACCGAAGTGAGACAGGGACGCTTATTGTCGCCGACCTCTTTTGAACATCTACATCAATAGCCTAATCACCGAGCTGGAGGAAAAAGGCCCCGGGCTCGGCTTCGCAACTGCCACCATGGAGGGAGACCAAAGATATACTGAGATCTCATGCCTCGCTTTCGCAGACGACTTGGTGCTGTTTGCCGAAGCGAGAGCTGATGTACAGGACATACTGACTGAACATCTGTGCGGAGGCAGCCCAATTAAAGGGAGGGTTTTAAATTCAACATGACCGAGACACAGTGAAAGACATTCAATGTTGCAGAGACAATTAGCTTTTATATTAGAGAACAGCACCTCAGAGCCCCATAGAGAATACATGTGGTTTTTCGCCAACTTAGAAAAATTCTCACATAATAACGGCTGCGCGGATCTTCTTGAAAATTTCGGCTTTAAAGACATTGAGGCATTATCGCGATATTAAGCGGGACAGATGTTTTATTATAAGTCTAATTATATTCTTATAAAATCATGAAAGTGCTCAAAATCGGCTAATTCGGCACTCTTGCGTTCGGAGCGAATGTGCAAAATTATCTAAATGCAAACAAAAAAAAGTATTTCGCTTAATGTCTTCTAAATTTATTACGGAATCGAATAATATTGAAATTATTCGTGTAAGTCAATCTGTTCCGTAACTACAGCGAATATAAAGAACCAAGGTCTGGGTGCTTCTTTTCAATGTTTTTAAGGTACCTCTCTCTCCCGTGATGTGGCGCTCGCTGTCCACGATATCCGAAATCGTCCGTTCGGCGATCGGCCGGATCGGCACTGTGCAAGGTGTTCTTCCGCGGCCGTATTCCGCGCCCGTATCCTGGTTCATTCTGCACGCCGAGGCGTCAGTGTGCGTGTCTCGCTTTCCTGGTTCTCGGTGGGTAGGTCTCCGTGTTTTCGCACGTGGCAAATTCACCTTGGAGCTATGGGTCGAAGACAACCGTCCTATGGCAAGCGGACCGCGAGGTGTTCCACAACCTCGCGGTCCGTCAATGCGTTGTACTTGTTTGTACTTTTTTTTTCTTTTAAAAACTTTTTTTTTTCTTTTTTGACGCGAAGTTTTATTTTGTTGTTATCTTTCACACAAACGTCCTTCGGCCTTGGGGTCCTGGAAATCGGGGATGAAAAGTGCACAGAGTAGATCGTTCTATGCCTCCTTTATATTTTTCACGGACGTCCGGTGACCTCCGTACGGTTCGTGGTCACCGCAATCTGACGCGGGGAAAAACGGGTCGCCTGCTCTGTAGTCAGGGTATTCCTCGGGGAGGGTGATAACTCGCTGTTCTTCTGGAAATTCACATACACACACCTAAACACCAAACGCCCCCCCCCCCGCCCACCAAAAAAAAAAAAAGGATTATTTGGCCAAGCATGAAAAAGCGGTAGTTGCGAAATCCAGTAAACTGAAGGAAAAATTATGGCACTTCGCGAGACATTCGAACAACCAATACGCTGTGGGAAGAACACGGTGGAAATATATGGCAGTCCCAGCAATAACATACACGAATGACGCAGCGGTAGTTGGGCCAGACCACCTGAAACTCTTCAAGAGACACCAAAATGAGATTGGAAGGTGGCTCTAGGGCGCCAACTGCTGTACAGCCAACGCAGCATAACAGGAGAGATGGGCTGGCCGACCCACGACATCCGTAAGGCAAAATCGCACTATTAACACATTCGGTACCGAGGAATCTAGGTGGATGAAGTAAATGACGGCCATAGATTCGAAATCTGGTGCGGAGACGCAAAAGCACCTGGCCAGTAGGGAGAGACAGTGGACAAAGATTACAAAATCCCAGATCACACGGTACTCGTCTCTAACGAGGAGTTATGAGAAAAAAAAAATCACTCGTCAGATACTGGTAACAAAGTATCGCACCAGCTCCCTGCCAAGACTACCGGGGGGACAGATCAAGCGCTCTCTTCTTCCAGGCCGGGCCCGGCGCTCTGTTGACACAGAGAAGGGGGCACGAGCTCTTCGGGGAGGAGCCAGAATGCAGTCTGTACGGCCTTGGAGACGAGGACATAGAACATATCTTCAATCAGTACCCACGTCTACAACCCAGCGGAAGAGCAGGACAAAACTTTGACGAAACGCTGGGCCTCGCAAAAAACGCCGAGAACAGGCAGCAGCGGCAAAGAATACAGGCAGTGGAGTCACCAGAGTTCGACCAGATCTACCAGACAGTGGGGCCAGCGCCGCCGTTTCTGCGACTGAATGCGAAAGTTGTGATGGCGGCGAAGCGCCACGTTATGAAGTGGGACCAGTGCTGCCGCTCTAGCGATACGCAAATTCTCGCGCCTGGTGGACTACAGAGGAGTAGAGCCACATCGCGGGCTTAGTATAGCGTACTCAGACATGTACACGTTACCCCCAAAAAGTAACCAAGTACCGTTACTCGTTACTCGCTCAAAAAGTAACTGAATGCGTTACTCGTTACCGATTCTCAAAAGGAACGCGTTGCTTTATCTCAAAAGTAGCAAGTTGCTTTTCTCGTTAGTTCGACGACTAAATACACAACTGATTTTGTTTCACGATTTATTGTTTTTTTTTTCAGTGGTCATGGCACCTGGTGCAGGTGCCATGAAGCAGGTGCCATGACCACTTTCAGTGGTCATGGCACCTGCTTCGAAGTTTTCATCAGTTGTGTTTTCCCATTTTATTGAGAATATATCTCCGGCGACGGCTGAAGAGTTGTTCTTCTGACGCGCTCGAATGAATGGCAGTCTTGTGCTTCAGGAAGAGCTGGTGAATCTGGAGTTCTCATCTTTTTTGTTCTCTCCGCTTCAAAGTTCGAAATCGACAATGGGTTCTGTGCCTTCTTGCGTTGGCAATTTCCGGGTTTACATTCGGTCTGTGCACAATTCAACCGCAAAATTCGGTTTCTTAGCCTATCGCGCTACGATTTTGTGCAGCGTGGCCCACAAGTGGTGCATTGTTCTATAAAGTTTGCAAAGAGCGAACTTACATCAGGAAAAAGTAAAAAAAGCAAGATGCTTAACTCCTATGGAAATGCAGCGACGCCACCGGTCTGCAATCAATAGGGCGCCATATTGTTTGAAATCCGGGCACTTTGGCGTGCACGTCCCACTGACGGCGAACCTTGATTTTTAATTTCTAAACATTTCCAGACTGCACCTGCGACGCCTCCTCGAGGATGACCACCCTGATTCAAAAGGGCTTTCGTGCAAGGAGGATAAAAGAGTAGGAGAGGGCATGGACGCCAGCAGCGTAGCCTCCACAAGCCATGCTCCCTTGATGCCTCGCCTCTTTCTCATTTTCCTCCTTTCTCTCTCCACTTACCAGGCCAACGGGACCACATCACGTGACCGCAGCTAGCCTTCGTCTAGCTATGGGGTACTAGGCTACACCGCAGTCTAGCCTTTGATCTGACAAAAACGTACCGGACGGAGCGCGCGCAAGCCTGAAAGGAGTCCTTCTACAATCAACCATCCACCTCACACGTGACATGTCACGCGCACCAATTGCCAGAGAGATCTACGGTCACGTTGGCCACAATATCGTTTAAACTTTTTATGACTAGGCTTCACCAATATTGCAACGTGCCCCCTCCTAGTACTTCTAACGTCCTTGCTTTCGTGCAACTAAATACTGCGAGCTAAGCGATCTTTGATACCGATCTTCATAGAGAAATCAGTCAGGCATAAATGTAAAATTCGATATTTTTTTAAAGCGGAGCTGTTAAGATAGGTTCCCCAGGATCGTGTCCGGTATGTCGACACAAACCTGCCTGGACAGCTACCGCCCTCTATAAGCGACGGCGGCAAGCACACAACCAGTATGGTTACCTCCGTCGCTCGTAGATGGCGCCAACCTTTCCAGTTATAATAGAAGAATGAATAATGGAGCGCGTTGGTGGGAATTCATCGTAGGAAGCAGCGCGAAAAACAGACGACGACGAAGAAGAAGCACACAGTGTATCGAGTACAGCTCCGCTGGTCTTCCTTCTTCACAAGAGTGGGAAGGCTGAACGATTTTTTTTCTGGGGGCAGGGGGGGGGGGGGGGGGGGGAGGTGGAGGATGCTTAGATTCCATAGACTGGGTTATGACCATAAATACACTATCGCAGAAACTGGTTCAGTGCCACTTTAAATCCGACCGCAGCCAACGCTACAGTGCCAAAAGTGAATCGTCACAACGGCGCTCGTGGTCTTTGTGCGTTTCCTATCCCCGACTAAACCATGATCCTGCGCTTTTCTTCATAAATGATTGCTGTAGTCGGGGATATAAAACACACAAAGACGGCGAGCGCCGTTGATACGATTCACTTCTTGATTGACTTCATCAGATCGTAGTTCCGATAGCGGTTCAACCAAGAGTGAAATGGACTGTGGTACACTAGGGCCGGTTGCACCAACGCCGCTTAGCGCAAAGCGGAGCTTAGCCGGAAACCTAAGCTAAGTTTCGGTTTCGTTCGGTTGCACCAAAATCGCTTATCGCTAAACCTACCACTAAACTACGCTTATCGTAAGCGCTCAACATTGGGCGCTTTGCTTTTGGTTGTTTCTTAATCCTGGATTTAAAACCTGGCGGCTGGTTTGTAACGGTCGACGCGGTGGACGAAATTGGTTGTGCAAAGTGTTTTAGGCTACAACAGCGTGGGAGTCTCGACAGAATGACCTTCGATTGTGACAAGGATGCAAAATATTGTGGCGTGAAGTGTTTATCGACCATTGTTTTCAAGTTGGCTCTCCACTTTCAGTGCGTGTTAGCCCTAACCGAGATATGTACGGAGCTGTGGGGCTCACGTGTGTCTTCCCGTTGGTTATTCTGTCAACGAGCTTATTCGTATGTACTTACTCAACTGATTTTCGTATAACTGTAACGTATTGTTATTTACCACCTTGTTTATTTCTACTCGCAACGCATATATCCTTCAATCCGATCAGCGCGTTGAATAGTGGCCGTACATGATCTCGGCGATAAGCTGATTGTCGACACTTCTGCCATTTGCATCAGATTGCGGCGCTTTTAAATTATAAAACAGCGAAAAGTCAATTTCTTTCGTTTTCTGAGTTTTGAGACAATCTTCGGTGAATTTTTCTTGTCTCGCGAGTAGAATCTTGGCTTCAGAAAACTGTATCGTTCCATAACCGTAACTTTTCTGGTGATCGCGGTTTTTACGAATATATTGCTACATTGGCTTAAAGGGGGTAGTGTGGTTATCGCGTAGCCTCCACCATGCATCGGGAACGGCCGCTCCTTTAAAGGCGATGTAGGTGGCGCTTCGATCCGCAGCTCCGTTGGGTGCCTCAATCGGCCGGCAGATGGAGGCACCCTAACACGCTTCATAACTAATATGAATACATCAAAAGCAGTTATTTGTTTCCAGTGAACTTCCAACGACATGATTTGTGTTTGAAGGTGAATAAAAAATGTGAAACTAGCAGATGACAGTGTAGTCGACAGCTGGGAATCGGCCGGAGCTGGTCGGAGCCAAGCTGACCAAGCGGCCAAGCCGGAGCCATAGCCGGAACGACGGTGCTGCAAGCGCCAGCGCCACCCGCGGCCGTCTTCCAACGCTGTGCCGCTTCTCCGGTTTCGTTCGTTACACTACCCTCTTTAAGCCACTGTAATATTGCTTTATAGCTTTCATTCGTGGCGACGACAACTAATTCTATTCGTGGTGACGACAACTCGACGACTTCTATTCGACGATTTCCGGGCATTTTCGCAGCTGCCGTGGCGAGTTCGTCACTGTTTTGAACTTCATCGGTCTCAGGCATGACTTGATTTTAGTAGTCATCTTACCTGCCTACTTATTTTCGATGATGTTCTGTCTTCAGCGATGTAGCAAGTAGAGCGTCCTTCTCACGTTCGGTGAGATTTGGGGCCCCCGATGGCTCCTTCACCTCAAAATGTGAGCACGAAAACTACTGTCACTGTCAAAATATTCTGTTATCAACCGATATTAAACACACAATCACAGATGTGAAGAGCATCCGTGTTTTTTTAAAGCGTTGACACCTGTTTTTGAAAGTTAAGCGAAAGAATGATTGAATTTGGAGACCTTTAATTCCTTATTCACCGAAGAAATACAGCGAAAAGCATACACCGACTACAGCAGGTTTTTTTGTTTACATCACGGGATTCCTCACCTCCAATCGCATTCGTCCCTCTGAGCGTTCCCTAGTTCGCTCTGTGTGTCCCTACATTCCCTAGGCAAATCCAGCGTTTAGCAAGGGGCGCGTCTGTAAAGCCGGGTTAACGTTGGTGCAATCGGAATTTAAACCCGCCCTTATCCGAGCTCGGTTTAGGACGCTAGGCCGATTTAGGAAAGAGCCGCTTTGGGTTAAGGTAAGCGACGTTGGTGCAACCGGCCCTATGTCGCATGCAATTTTTAAAAATCATATCTTGCGTGCTATTTTGAAAGTTAAAAAAAAAAAAAAAAAAAATACACGGCCGAAGCAATCTTGATGAAATCGACACATTGGGATGTTTCTCGACACACTCTAAGGCTTTTGTATCGGAGGGTATGTCGACAAAAGTTAGCTAATTAATCTCTGTTTACCAACCAGTTTGGCACATCGCTATATATATATATATATATATATATATATATACCTATCTGGACTTCCTCAATAAGGCTGTGAAGAATATTGTGTTGGCTTGACACGCGTGGCGTGGACCAGCTTTTAAGTCTCGCACAAACTGGCGAAACACCTTCTATAATCTTGTCGCGGATGGAAACGGATCAAAATGCTTAGAACAAAATAAAAATTTAATAAGCAAACTTGTGCCAGAAAAAAAAGAAAAAAGAACGAGCGTCGAGAAAGCAGCAGGATCGTGGACGTGTGGGTTAGCGAGAGTGAGTCGGCAAGGCCGTGCTGGCCTTAGCTATTACACTCGGTATCTCGAAAACTTGGCTTAGAATGTTCGACCCTCGAACATGGTAAGAGTGAATGCGAATCTTCTAAAAGTACGGAGCAGCGTTGCCTCTCGGCCATGCACGTGGAAATATTCTCACGATTTAGGAGCAGTCTAGAAAACTGGGACTGGGGGAAGAAGAAACACATGACTGGACTAGCGCTGTATTTTCTTCTCCAATAGACTATAAGTCACTGAGAGCAAAATGCAGGTCAACTGAGGGTGAAACGAAAAGTCCCGAACTTTTGATCGCTCCACAGCGGTATCATGTATATCGTGTCTCAGAAGGGGCTTACCAAATATGTCTTATAAGCCGTAGGGAGAGTAAACTTATTTAAAAATTGTGGCCGTTACCCTGGTTCGGGCTTGAGGTTGAGTGGTAGTCGAAGAAAGGCTCCATTTCTGGATCGGTGATGTTGCAGTGGAAGCAGAAGCAGATTCCGTAGCGGTAGGTCAGCCTCCTGCCAAAAAACCTGAAAGCCGCCGAGGAAGACATGGGATTAAAGCCAGCAGATGGTAATCATTCAAGATTGATCGTCCTAACATTGTGATTCTGGTTGAGCTTTCTGTGTCTGAACTTTGCCGTCTCAGGTTTCGTGAAGGGGCACCAGTTATCCCCTCAAACTCTCCATTGAAATCTTTGTGCCGTATTCTCCGGACATGCTTCAAAGTCGACACTTTACGTGGTGCGGACCACAGACAAGGATTTGAGTTTTCTAGATCGTTCATTATGACCGGATGTGAGTGAGTTTGAAAATGACAAAGTATACTCATAATACTTTTATATAAGCTTCTTTGCGAGCTTCTACCCGGTCTCAGAGAACGGATGCGCATCGCGCTGTTGACGCTGGCGCTGTTGCGCTCCGACGAGGGAGAGGGCTGCCCGTGAGGTACCGAGATACCGGATTCGCCAAGATAGCAGAGGCGGCTGTCTCCGCTGTCTCGAGGGGTTTCCACGACGATGAATGGCGGCAGTCACCCCTCCCTATTCAAAGGAGAAGACCCCCAGGCTGTGCTCGTCCAGCCGTTCAAACTACGCAAGATCTGTCGGCGCCAAAGCCATTGGAGTTTTGCACCATGATGGATTCCTTAGGAAAACATTTGCAAAAACCGAAGAAACGTCTCATTAAAGCATATTTTTCTGAATAATCAAGACACGTTTTCTCACAGACTCGGTGAAATTGCGAGGCAATTTTTCGTGTCGGGCAAAAAATGGGGTATTTATAAGGACTTAAGTTGGAGAAAACAAATAGGGTATAGGAAGGTCATAGCACATGCGTGTGACCCGCAAACTGTGAAAACAAAGGTCCCGGTACACATGAGAAAAAAAAAATCAAATAAAAAACGTAATTTCCCCCATCAAAAAAAAAAAAAAAAAAAAAAAAGGATAAAGAGGAAAAACGTTCTGCGGAGAAAGACAGGGTCTCTGTTCCGGATTAACGTAAAATAATACTGTAAATTAAGAATTCAATTCCGGCGAAGCTCAGGTCTTTTCTCATTCGAGGATAGCTTCAATTCAGGATTTTTCGGTATCCCCCGATTTCGATAAAAGTCTTTCATAGGTTAATTTTAGGGGTTTATCGGCTATCACGGAACACTACCAATTACCCCCCATTCCTCCCTCCGCACTTCTGCTACCAAAATTATAGCTGAAAATTTGTATCTAAAAAGTGTAAAAGAAAAAAAAAAAAAAAAAAAAAAAGGCATACTTTTCGTTTGTGCAGTCCTTCTGCGCGTACGAACAGTCGAGTACGGTCTTGTCGAATTCGTTCGAAAGTCGACGCAGGTTCGTGAAGTTGTTCTTCTTGAGCCGGGCCATCCAAATCCGTAGTTTTTGCAGAAGATTCTCGTCGTCCCGGTTGGGCTGCAGCGAAAGAATAAGTCAGCAGACGATTTAATTCCAGTCATGGTGTACGTTTAACTAACTATTTTTTTGCGTTTTTTTTTGTGTCATTGCCGCAAAATGTGGCTATTTCTCACGAAGATGCAGTGAGCTTGAAACCCGTGGAGAATGTTTGAAAAGAAAATGTTGGGTCTTTTTCGTCGAATACGTATACCCGTGGAACACCGCAATCATTTTATGAAGGCTGCGCAGCCGATCAGAGTGTGGCATACTCCGATAAGAAAGCTGACGATCAAATCCCGATCGAAGAACGTACCCTCTCAGAAATCGGGGGTGTAGTACTCGCATCCTGTGTCTGTATATAACACCCGAAAACTATATTGCGACGTTCAGTCTGCTGAAGTCGAACTGACAATTTTACGAGCGGCTTAGTAGCTGAGTGATTTAACTTAAATAGCTAATGTACGTATCAAAGACTAAATAAAAAAAAATTAAGACAAGTTTTGCAGCAGGGCCAACAAAACCTTGAATGTTTTCCTGTAGTCTTCCATGCGTGCATTAGTTATTTTAATACGTTTGGCTACTGATTGTCAAGTCGTCTGCTCCTTGCCCAGGAGTTGCGATGAGATCAGGGCTCAAAAGGACGACGAGCATTTATTTGCCGATTAAAAAGAAAATAGTGGGTAGACCTCAAAGCACATAGCATTGAGATATCTACCCACTATTTTTTTCTATCAACCAATCAGAGCTCGGCGTCGTTCTGACGTCACCACAAGGAGCAGACGACTTGCTCTCCGCATACCGTCGGTTGCGCTCCGGCTTGGGGTCAAACAAAAATGTATATCAGCTTCAAGATTTTTTTTTTTTTTTTTTTTTTTTGAGGCGCGCTTTTTTATTGTTTGTGATGTCACACCCAGAAGTTTCTCTCGTCGTGACGTCGTGAGTTTTAATCTGACTACTTATGATTTGAAAAGCACAAGTTCGATGGTGTGTGTAAAAATAACGGTGGAAGCCTGGTGTCGTCACATCCTTACGTCGTCACGCGCGGTTGATACTCTGATACTGCGCCAATGTCCGTCGATGAAAGACAAATTGTTCCAGGTAAAGACGCCGCAGCGAGTGTCTGGCCAATCACGAATTGCGACCACAGCGAACGCTTTTGGCCGCCCTCGTCGCTAATAGCAGCAAGAGGATCTGGACCCGCCATTCCTCCGAAAAATGGGCTCTGTTGTGTTTGTCGCGGTTGCCGTATAACCTGTAAAATATGACGGAAGCTAGCACTATATCAAGGGGGTGTAGCGTTAGCTTGTGTGATTATTCACCACCGGAAGTCTCAAAATGGCTTTGAAGGCTGGATCAGAACACACTTGCGTTTGACTGCATCGGGCTGCGCTACGAATCCTCGCGTTCCACGGCAACGTGTTGCGCGGCATCGAAACGAGGTAGGGCCAGTGAGCTACAAGAGAGTTTTAGTAGATCGTTCCGATACCTCCGATAGCCCCGATAACGATACTATGCATGCGCAAGGAAGGCGGTGGCCGAGTATCGGGTATCGTTATCGGAGACATGGGAACGATCTACTAAAACTCTCTACAGTCACGTGACCCCCCAAATCACGTGACCCCCCCCCCCCCCCCCCCCCCCCCGAGAACACGTCACCCTCCAGTACCCTTCTCTCCTCAAGAGCTGTGCTCTAATTCGGCGTTACAGGAAGTTGTAAACGGCTTTCATTTTTTTTCTGAATTCGCGACGACTCCTCTATTCTCAATCCCCCTCCCCCGAAACCCCCACCCCCCCCCCCCCCCCCCCTAAAAATTTTGAAACCCCCCTAATTTCAATTTTTGGGGAAACCCCTGGTGAGCTTGAATATAACTTGAGCGTTTCTGGCCTCAAAATAGACTGAAAGGTTCGCATTATATTTACGGGATGAAGTCTACGCACTATCTATGAGGATAGGGTCCTTCTAACATTGTTGAATTTATTTCAAGCCCAAGGTGAAAGAGTTGATGAGTAAAATGTGAGGAAATATACGCCGACCGGAAGTGTTCCATGGTTATCTGAGAAATGGCGCTAGCGTGGTCTTTCTTCCTAAGCGCATAGAGAGGTCGTATCCAGGCGGCGAAGGGCGGGAGCAGAACACATCAAATCGTAAGCACTGGCATCGACGTGGTACCGAGGAAAAGAACGAGAGAAAAGGGGAGAAGGAAAGCAGTTAAATTAAGTTAAATTAAAGTTAAATAGGTTAAATTAAGCGAGTTTGTCTTGCTGCAGCGAGTTGAAGTTGTTCGAGTGCTCATCAAGCTTATTTATTTTCATACAGTTCGCGACGCCGATGATTTCGTACAAATTAGGCTAAAAAAAGAAAAAGAACTTTCAGCCTTTCCACTCTGGTGAAGAAGGAAGACCCGCGAAGCTGTACTATGGTGGGAATGAAGTAATGGTCGGCCGCGAGTCGGCAATCCAGAGCGGAAAGGCTCGAAAAGTTGCCGCCATAAATGAGCTACGTCAGCAACCAGACAACCGGCAAGCCGGTTGTCTAGTTGCCGCCGCCGTTCATAGATTGTGGTAGCTGTCCAGAGTTCTGTGTCATCATTTGTTTGCTGACGGACACCATCTCGGGGAAACTAGCCCTCAAAAGCTCCGCTGTAAAAGCACACCAGACACAGACCTTTAAGGCGACGCCTTCCTCCAGCAATAATAATCCATCGGAACCTCCAATATCCACGTCTATGCCCACACCGTTTGATATGACCGAAATACACGAGACCTTTTTCTCTATATTACGCTATTAAAGGTGCTATGCATGAATTTTTGTACATCGTGCAAAAACCGCTTAGAACGAATCCCTGCTGTTAAAGACCTATGAAACGCGTTCGTTTTCCACCACACGCGATAGAAGTCGCAGAAAAAAAGATTAAAGAAAGACCAGCAGCGTTCACCCAGAGCCTTTTATACTGGGAGAGTTCGGCGGTTCTTTGATCCAGCCGCCAGTCTGGCAGCACTGATCAAACAGTCTGGCAACTGTGCGCATCCGCCATGATGTGCCTTGCCGTCTAGCTTGATTGCACCTTTGCATTTAATAGCATTATAATTATAACCTTAAATTGCAAGCTTCACCCTTGTTGGTGTAAGGCTGGTGGCGGCTGATAAAACCCGTTTGCCCTACTGACTCGAGCCGGCCGTCGGCTCGCTAGAGTCCATGGAGCGAGAGACGACGATGAAAATGATCGTTCTGCGCTGCGCTCTGCCAGACGTTAGATGAAAAAGAAATGGGGGGGGGGGGGCTGCAGTGCCGTTGGGTGCTCGAACAACGCGAAAAAGGGGTTCAGGATGTACCGGTTCCCGCAAGGAAAAGAAAACCGCGCAAGGCACAAGATCTGGGAAACCAAACCAAGAAGGGCTGACTGGAAGCCGAGTTCTCGATTGTGCGAGGTAAGTTTATGATTAACGTATGATTAACGTAACAAAATGCTTGATTTTTCGACTTTCTCCTTACGCCAACAAAAGCGCAAACGGCAAAACCTACACGCGTATACATCGCATGTCAATGGGGACCCACTCGCCGGGAGGCACATCATGGCGGAAGCGGCGCCCGCTGAGTCCGCTAGACCTAGCGGGCCGTAAGCTCCTCCCACCCGCCGAACTCTCCCAGTATAAAAGGCTCTGCGTTCACCCCCTCAGCTCGCAGCCAGAACAAGTGGCCGCGTGATATGGAGCCTTTCATACCCGAGCAATGTTGATCATAGCCACGCGCTGGGGTTGACAAGGCAAGGGACGCGCGCCGAGTTCCAGACATTGTTATGGTTTGGCTATTGTCGTCATTGCAGCGATTAGACACCGGCCACTACTGTTTGTCGAGCTGTTGATTATCACGCGACCAAATCGAGTGCTCACGCAATTCTCGGGTCCAATCTATGAGGAGTATTCAAATATCGTCACTGAAGGATACTGCGATCCCCGAGCTACGTCACCAAGTCTTGCGAGGAAGAGATTGAAAGAAGACGCTCGCTTTTTGCCCTTGAAATGACACCGCAACGAAGTTTCTTGGTCAGTGGCGTTGCGTGCGAGTGTACTTGGGCCCCACTAGGGTCAGTAGGCTCGTGTAAAGTGAAAAAAAAAAATTTAAGCGAATATTGTTGCAAGGCCTCTTTAATTCTATAGGCACCTTCGAAAGTCACGTGCCGACTTTCAGAAGGTCAGAGCCACTGCACAATGGCGGAAAAGCTGACATCAAGTCATTTCATAAGGTAGCGGAAGTCGGAGCACTGCCAATGATTGGAGCCGACGAGCCAATGAAACAGCATGGAACGTGTAACGTCACTGTGCTTATCACATTTTTCTGTGGGTGTGCTCTTGCCTTCTAATCCAAGAAAACGCATCAAGTGTGCCGTGACGTTGCGGTTTTAGTCCGTCATTGTGCAGGCATTCCACAGCTGCGAACAGAGGGCAGTATTTCGAAAGGGGCTTATTGCCGCAGCACAGTCAATCACGGCCAGGGACAGGTCTGTGAGCCAGCTTTTGAGACGCCGTTTCACAGCGCGCACTCACGTTCAAGAAGAGTGGTGTGTCGTTGCACACCCGCCGTCGAATTTCCTGCGGCAGCGCCAGATTGCCCGGAAAGGTTTCGGCGCACAGGGCGGACTTCCTCAGGGGATTCACACTGCACACCGTCACGTCGGGAAAAGGGAGCGGATGCTCCTCTTCGTAGTCGTAGTTGACGATGGTCGAGAACTCGGCGAACTCCCTGAAGACCTGGATGTAGAGCCACCCAATATGCCACCACCTGTTGCAGGTATAGAAAAGCGGGGCAATGCCCTCCCGTAAAGCCCTGCTCTCTTTCCACTTTAGCGGAGCGAACGCTAAAGAGGTGGTAAGTCCCTCCTCGTCTCCTCTCCAGCGTTCGCTCTAATAAAGTAAAAATAGAGGAGGGCTTTGCGGGAGTACCTTGTCCCGCTTTTCTTAAGGCTGCGGTCCCACGGCAGCCATTTTGAACAAGGCGTTAGTTCAACCAATAGATGGCGACACGCACCCGTGGGGTGGCCGAAACATTGGTTCACATAGGGATGGCTCGAGCACCATCACGTTCCCCTCGTGGCCTTGCTCGCGCCACTGCCAGCTGTGCTCAGCTAGCTCAAGTAGCGTGGCCCAGCAAACGGATGTATGCGAGAAAGTCAGGCTGGCTATAAATTGTTCTCTGATATAGGGAGATGCGGTTCGGCGGTTGTAACGGGCTTTCGCAATAAATCTTACCGAGAAGGAATCAATTGTTGATTGACGTGTTAATATTCTATCAATGAAAACTTCTGCAGGAATGCACGCTCAGTAGACTCAATCTTCCAAGGCACCAGCGGAAGCGGACGTCAAGTAAACTGCTTCGCGATTTACGGTACTTACCTCATCATTTTAATGACGACTAAAATAACGACACGAAATATTGTGTTTCACGGGGTCCGGAAGATGTTGTAAAGGTTGTTACATTATAGTTCCCAGAAAACAAACGCCATTGCAATATTTTCGGAAGTACCGACACACATAATAGAGAGTTTTAGTAGATCGTTCCCATGACTCCGATAACGATACCCGATACTCCGCCACCGCCTCCCTTGCGCATGCATAGTTTCGTTATCGGGGCTGTCTGAGGTATCGGAACGATCTACTAAAACTCTCTAATGTTGTAAGTACAGCTTAGGAGGAATATGATGAAAACCATCAGAAGAAATAGGAAGACGTTTATTTGCAATAAAGACGCTATGAATGACCGGCGTTTAGCGACGGCAAGTTATGAGTGTTCGGGAATTTATAAGTTCACGTGATTGCTAACTATGGACATGCTAAGTACAAAACGAGCGTGTTGGTAACGGTAATTAGACACGAGGAAGATACATAGAAAGGGGGGACGGACAACGTTGTCCGTCCCCCCTTTCTATGTATCTTCCTCGTGTCTAATTATGGACATGCGTTTTTGTCGGGAGATGGTGTTGCGGTGATGACCTGATATCGGACGACTCGTGGCAGACGAACAAGCAACTTTCTTCTCAGCGAATGGTAAGTGTCCAGTGTCAAGCACAACACGTGGCTACCGACGTTGTCGACGTTTCGAACACTTACCGCTTTCGACAAAAGTCCTGGCACCTGGGCTAACTTTCTGGAAAGACTCGAAGTCTTCCTTGAGTCCAACGCCATCATGAACAGTAACTGAAAACGATCTACTATTCAATCGGTGGGTGGCGAAACGTATCCGCATCTGCGGAGTCATGGGCGATGCGTACTCTAAGTGGCTGGAAGTTTACACGATGCCTGCCACGACGTCCAAACACGTCATTGACGTTCTACGGTCTCTTTTAACTTCTTTTGCCCTACCGAAAACACTTTTCTCTGATAACGCGCCAAATCTTGCTTCAAACAAAATAAACAAGTTTTTATATATATATAAAAAAAAAAAACGGCATCAGGCATCACGTTAGTGCACCATACCAACCTGCAACTAACGGGCATGCAGAACAGATGGTGTGGGAAACAAACAAAAAAAAAAGCCCTCTTGAAGCTTACGGAAGAAGCAGTTCAGTGAAGAATCGCCAGGTTGTTGTTCCAGCAGCACGCGACGGTCTCATCTTACACGGTAAAAATCCCGCCGAAGTAATATTCGGCGGACGAAGAGCCACACCCCTCGATCTCATGATACTATGGCTTACGAACGAATATCGAGAGCTTCCCAGATCGGGAGTAATTGCAGTTTATTCGGTCGGACCACTTGTCTACGTAAGGAATTTCAGCGGAAGTCGGGCCTTCCATGTAAAACTTGAGTAGAAAAGGCTCTATGTTGGTTGACCAGTAGGTGTCATCTCTCAGAATACGTTGGATATCAGTGCCCTTGAGTGTAAATATAACTAAATCACAAAACTCTCTTTGTGCATTGTGTAACTGCCCTTGTATTTGATAGTATAAGCTATGGTGGTGATTTGGACCTTTCACACCAGGCTCCTTTTTCTTATTTTTCGCCTCATACTCCTTTGCGGTTTAAGTATGCTTCAAGAATCTTTTGGAACGGGGACACTTCACGTCAACGAGGCCATTTGTTCCAAGTAGTCAATCAGGGAATGCTGCTAGAAATCCGTCCCTCCTATTCTGCAACTATTTTCCTGTTCCACGTACAGTTGTAAAGCAGCATCCTCATTGATTCTACCATATTCTGATGCGGGTGAAGAAAGTCTTTGGGTACACGATACGTGAAACAAGTCTGGCACTGTACGTTGTGGTTCGACACCCACTAATGTCGTCGTCCTTATAGAGCCTCATCCTTTAATCATCCCCCCGTCACCTCATATTGCTCTTCATCAACAGTAAGTACAATAGGCTACCGCCATATTACAAACCATTAATTGAAAAATTCAGTCGTTCAGTCCTTCAACAAGTTTATTATTTATATAATGTTATTACGTTACATTACCTCGAGACGATGGACGTCCATCGTCGATCTTCAAATACTTATACCTGGGTGATTTCATTTGAATTCGACCAAACTTGTCGGGGGGCGTTCTTTAGATTTAATCGTAAAAAATATATATGATACCCGAATCCTTGTGATGAAAGAAACTGCCTTTGAAAAAAATTAGAATTGTATAGTTTGAGAGAAAAAAATTCTGAGGCGCTGCAGGGTAGAAAACGTCAAATTCCCAATTTGATTTTATTTTTTATTTTTATTATTATTTATTTATTATTTAAATGACTTATTCAACTGGTTGTCCTAAAACTACAACAAAAAAAGGTCAAGCAATATTTATGCCCGGTTATTAAGCAGAATCTGGGCAATAAATTAAAAAAGTATGAACGAAATAAAAAATGGCTTTTTTGAGAAAATTGACTTCAAAATTTGCATATTTTTCATTTTTGTCTATATTTGTGGCAGAATAAAAACAACACGGTAAACACAATAACCAGAAAATACATGCCAATCGATAGCTTACATTGATAGCTACGCACAGATATCTGTCTCACGTCATTGCGCCCTACCGTTCGTTTTATATAGCTGTCCGAAGTTGCGTCACACTTGCTCTAGGTTGCATGTTTGAGATTTTTTAGAAAATTAATTTAAAATAACAGAAGACAGAAATTTACCTCTAAAAATAGCCAAGTCTGCGTAAATATTGCGTAATAAATATAATAATTCTGCAAGAATTCGATATTTTGTAAATGGCGGCTAAAGTCGAGATAAAATCAAATTGGGAATTTGACGTGTTCTACCCTGCAGCGCCTCAGAATTTTTTTCTCTCAAACTATACAATTCTAATTTTTTTCAAAGGCAGTTTCTTTCATCACAAGGATTCGGGTATCATATATATTTTTTACGATTAAATCTAAAGACCCCCCCCGACAAGTTTGGTCGAATTCAAATGAAATCACCCACCTGTATATAAATGAGACGCATAAGGGGGGGGGGGGGGGAGGGAGGGAAGGGTCGGTGGTCGAGTGCATGGTCTACCGCACACTAGAGCCACTCTATATGGCAGCGTAGCTGCCAGAGTAGCGACACGACGCAAAATTATCTAGATGCACGACGTCAGAAGCGCTGATAGTGATCTCCATTTTGGGCCTGGGAGGTTGTCATGGTAACCGTGCTTCTAGCGACGCCGGGCGGCAACCTTTGTAGTCTAGTTGATATCTCCATTCGTTCATTGAAAAGTGGTATAAGACGCTTGGCATCGCGGTACGGCAAGAACCTCTGAAGGAACGGTGCCTGTTTTTTTGTTTTTTTTAAAGTGAGACGATTTGCAGCCCGGGGACTGTCGGGCGACGAGAGCTGCTATGGTATCGTACGTGCATGGACAAGGCGAGTGGTTTTCGGCGCCGCCGGGATGGCGGCCGCTTCGTGGGACGAACGTACCGTGCTGGTACTTTTGGACTTCGCTCGGATGGAACAAAATCCGATTACGCCGGCCACGACAGGACGATTGGCTCGGAACATGACTGCTGCTCGACTGCCCCATAGTGAGCGAGTATATATGTTTAGCATCATACTTCTTCAAGAACCGATCATCCCTTCAAGATGAGATTTTATCACCGACTGGTGAGGAGCGACGTCGACGGGGTTCAGCCAAGAAGGACGGCGTGATGGTCTCTAGGGAACTGTTGATGCCATCAAAAGAGACGGACGCCGGATATAAGGTGTTCTTGCCGACAGGCCAAGTGGTCGTCCGGAAGTTTACCGGCATGTAAAATGTCAATATTTTTATCTGGTGTAGCACACATATCCGTGTTAAAGGGGCCACAAAATTATTTTTAAGCTTCTTCTTCCTTACCTGTAATCCTCAGCTCAGAAGAGAACTGTGAAATCACGCAGTCGTGACATGCTAGGGCACCGGTGCGATGACCCCAAGCTTTCACCGTGCTTTTTAAGCACACCGTAGAACTTGGCATTCGCAATTAATGATAAGTTCCGTCAGGGCACTCATTCGCCAGGAACGCGAATTCAAATATCCATGGACGAATTGACTGCTGACGAGCGCATACATCCGAGCGACGCAGTTTTCGTGTCCAATGCGTGAGTTGGGGTCGGCTGACGTCATTTTGGCCTTTGTAGGCATTGTAAAGAGGATATTTAGAACCATACACACATGATGATAACGTCATAGCACACTGACATTAAGGAGCACAAAACGGGCCCAGCTACAGAAAATAAATATTACACTCGTAAGAAATAAATACGTCTGTAACTTGTTGATTACAAAGACGAACACACCTCTGGGCATCCAAGTTTAATAGTATGTGTTGATGCATTGTCATATA